AGGCATGAGGATAAGAACGTGTCAGACTGAAGGAATCTGTTGATTGAATCCATTCCCAATGAAGTTCGGCTAACAACGCTTTCCTATTACCCCTAGAGCAACCCGGCTTTTCAAGGGAACCATAAATAAATTAGGGTTGAGCTTACGACAGTCTGACTTTTGAACCTTGGAGAACTATATAACACTGGCTTTTGTGGTAGATCTGCTCTTAGAGAAGTAATACATGTTTCGAGGATGTACATGAACCTGTTAGTATAGTGAAAATGAATTGCTTTAAGAGTTTACTTTCGTGATATCAGGAAGAGTTTGCTAGTTCCTAGATCACATTTTCTAGTTGTGAGTCCCTCAAGATATTCCCCCTCTTTTTATCTTCACTCTGTTTTTTCCTTCCTTATTTCTTTGATTATTGTACTACTGCTGTTCTGTCTACTTGACCCAAGTTAATATATGATACCTCTTCTTTACTGACCTAAAAATATTTCCAGAGAAATTAAGTTAATTAGAACTACACCCAAAGAAGCCGCCATATGTTGGGACGCAGATATGATGGGATCCCAAATTAATACATAATACTGCTTCTTTACTGACCTAAAAACATTTCCAGAGAAATTAAGTTAATTAGAACCATACCAAAAGAAGCCGCCATATGTTGGGACGCAAATATGATGGAATACCATTCCAAGATAACTCACGCAATTTTTCTGCAAGAGAAGTTGGGAAGCACATCAAGAAAATGTAACAATCAGATCGGTAGATAACATTGAGAATTAACCAACAATAGCTGCTAAATCTGTCAATCTGTACAAGTCATTAAGAAGGAAAAATTAACAAACCTCGTGGAAGAGCAAAGCAGAAACAGTTGTGATATATGCATAACTGTCTTTTAGTCTCACATTAAAGGTCTTAGCTAGTGAAACTCCACATATCCTTATGACTAGGAAAGCATCACCTTTGTGATCAACCGGCCAAAGAATAAGCCAATTATAGTTTATAAAGGCAGGAGGGATGTAGGAATAAGCCACTACGACAAATCCAATCCTACAAAGGTTTATCCTTAGCTGAAGATCAAAGTTTTTCTTTAGGTATAGTAAGAATTTCAAGTAAGCGTACAGTGACCCGCTCAAAATCTTGATGCAAATCAATGAAGTTTTTGTTTAAAGTCTCAGAGGTATACTACACCCATTTAATTGTGGTCACTAAATTTTGGTGTACAATTAATTTATTACCTTTCTTTAAGTTATATTTCTCAACCTTCCCAGTGCTAAGAACCAAGCCATTTTGGTTCTGTTTGAAGGTAATTCAGGACTGCACATAAACCAGAAGAAGAGCCATTTGTATCCTATTAATGTAGTGTCTAGGGGCGGCAAATAGCAGGTCGAGTCGGATAGGGGATGGTTGAAAATGAGTCAGGTGAAAATGGATAAAATATCCTACCGACTCATATTTGATAAGGATAAAAATGGGTGGTAATACAATGAATAATCCACATTATCTGTTGCTTCTTATTATGTAAATAAATAAGTATTTCCATATTACAAGGTTGTTTTCTTATTCTTTTTCTTCTTTTAGCTGTGTTTGGTATGAAATAAATATTTCCATGTTTTCCTAGAAAATATTTTTCTGATTTAAGGAAAGTTTTGAAAAAAAAATTCCTTAATTTATGTATGGAAGTTATTTTTTAAGAATTAGAGAAAGTAAGTCCATTTGAAAAGTTTTCTCGAAGCTTCTTGTTCATATCTCTCATCAAAAGGTGTCACTCGATAATGTGTGCCTTGTAAATATTTCCCAAATACATTAAAATCAATGAAACATGAGAGAACTGGAAAATATATTTCTTCATACCAAACACACCCTTAATAAGTATATGTTTTCGAGGTTCCTACACCCTTACATACTTGAGCGAAGTGCAATTGGTGGATACCCATGAGTTATCCATATTTATGATGGTAACTATGGGTAGATCCATATTTGATCCACTTTTGAGAGACTGGACAACCTTAGCAGGACATGAGAGACTTACTTTCTCTAAGGACTTTTAAGTGGGACATTGTAACACTTAGCAGGAAACATGGAACACTGGTTATAAAAAAGCTAGGCCTTCACTATCTCTAAGCACCCATAGAAAAGTTCAGGAGTAAATGCATGTAAAGGATACTCATTAATACACATTAAGTCATCCTTTTACGATCATGGCACCCATACGATCCCAAATAATAAGCTCTAAGCACTATATGCTAAATTATGCAAAGAAAAGAATCATATATGTTTATATATAACCATGTAAATATCACCTCATCCTCATCAAAAAATATATATCTTGGTACCTAGAATAACAGTTGTCGCAGACAATTCTTTTGTGAACTTCATTAGCCTAGCCGAATCAGTAGCTCTAGAGCCAATTGATGACTTCTGTACTTCGCTGGATGTGTGTTCTGAATTTGAAATTGATGATTTCGTCTGGCTAGCAGATGAGCTAACATTCAGATTGCTTCTACTTTGCAGTTCATCCTAATAGTCAAGGAAAAGAGCTTAATTTAAGGTGATGAATTTGAGCAATAGATATATCACATAACCACATACATTGGATATCAGCACTGCTCGTACCTCAAAAGATCCATCTGCCAGTTGGCTTGGTCCCGTCTCACTATCTCGCAGACTTCCATGATTATCTGGAGATCTCATGGTTGAGTTATCCAGTGGGTCTGACCTCCGCGTAATCAGTACTTTGCCAGGGAAACTGCGTCCCTTTAATAACCTGCGCGACATCATAGTTTTTGTGATTATCAAAAGTTATAGAAAAAAAAAGTGTTCTGAATGGAAAAGAATAAGACCAAGTAATCAACATCCTTGACTGTTAAATATCATTGATAACCAACATCCATGACTGTTAAATACAAAACATTGTTATTCCAGATGGTTTTTTCTTTAGTCAATTAGGATAATATTTCAGATGGTGATTCTACTTGAGAGTCAAATTGGCACATGTTAACCAAAGAAGTCACTGTACTGGCAACGTCCAATAAAAGGACAACAATCAACAAATATGTGTAATGTATTCATATTCAGGCTATGTTAGGCTTTTGTCCTTTGCATTTCTTTTCTGTTCAAGATAAAACAGCCCAACACTTCTAATGTCTATCCAACTGTTAAAAAACTAAAGAGAAACAAAAAATGGAGAGATTGACTCTTGCAATGTATCACTGTACATTAAAACTATTAACTTCAAGAACCCAAAGTCCATATTTCACACATCACTGCCACAACAAATAAGTAAAGTAACAAGAGCTCCTAGGAAGCTAGGAAGTTCGACAACCTAAATCCAAATCTCAACCTTTACAATCCACAAAAAATGAAACAAATACGAAATGCATTTCCCAATGTAAAGACCAACAGACAAATCAGAAAAAAAAACACGGACTACTAGTGATCAAAGATTCAAGTCTACTATTATGTAAGGACGCCTGAGCTGCAAAAAAAGTCTCCTCACCCAACTCCATTTTGATCAAATAAAACCTAAGTTTTGCTTGAAGTGTCGAAAATTTGAAACACTCCAAAAAGACTTGGGAATCTAACTTCTATGTTTTCTAGCATATCACCTTACAAACAAATGTATTGAGCTCTTCACTTCCTGTTGATATTTGTCCTAGTAGTAATACAAAAATTCATCATACTGAACAAACATAGCACTCACAAAGGAAATATAACAAGCTTTACAACCTAAATTTCTCAACTTTAACCTCCATAAACTACCAAAACTTCATTCGAAAGATGGATAAAACATTTCCAATCACAAATTCAGCATTGAGATCACAAAATTGGCATACTCGGTCACTGATCAGACCCTCCCCAAGTCCAATTGAGTTGAATTACCTCAAAATGGTATATATAAAAGGGCGGAAAATGGGAAATCTAAGTTATGGGTTTTAGAGATTATATAGATCTGATTAAGAATAATGATTACCCTTGAACATTTCTGAGAGTTTGATTGAATCTTGAATCAACAGTCGCATTTCGATCTTCCTCTCTGTCGCTCCTCATGGTTACCATACCATTGCTGCTCTCAAAACTCGTTTCTTTCAATGGAAGTGATGATTACGGTACACCTGCAACTCACCAAAGGTACAACTCCTTTATGCGTCTTTTGCTCTCTCCAGTTTCCACTTCGGTCACCAAATTGGACGCTACTAGCTTTTTTATATTTTTTACACCTGCAACTCACCAAAGGTACAACTCCTTTATGCGTCTTTTGCTCTCTCCAGTTTCCACTTCGGTCACCAAATTGGACGCTATATATTTTTTATGGCTCTTTAAAATCATCAAATAATATTTTTTATCACAACTCGATTTGGGACAATAGAAAAAAGATTATATATCTTCATAACACCCTTTAATAAATATATGGTTACATAAAAATTCAATATAATTTAGTAAATATGATTCTATTTTATTTTGTTTTTTGTTAAAAATTAAATCTCATTTTTAAATTTTTCATTCAAAAATTTCAATGTAATCTTTTTAAACTTCACCATAAAATTGTAAATTCTAAATGAGTTAAGTGTTCCTTACACGTAACTAGTTCCAAACGTAATACAATGAATTATAAAGATACATAGAGTAATTATAATGCACACAAATTTTGATGTACTCATATGCACACAAATTTTGATGTACTCATTGTGCTTTATGTATAATACCTTTTTTTATGTAACTTTAACAAATATATTTACATTAATTAGTAAAATATTATAATTTTAATGAAATCAAAGTTGACTTTTATACACTCTGATTAAAGAAAGGTAGTGTCTTTTTAGTAAAAAAAAAAAAAACCTCATTAATTCGTATCAACGTCTCATCCTCCTTCACTTTGAACAAAATTGGAATATCATATATTACACACTTGATCTTTTTATTCATGCTACAAATTGATGAATTTAAGTTGTATTTTTCTTCAATTTTCAATTGATTTTTGTTTGTATTTTAACTGTGAAAGACACTGTTTATAACTAAAACAATAGATTAATGGTCATATGGTACCAATCACACGCATAAATTATTGCACAATATGCACAGATCATTATTTTTCCAGCAGGAAGGGAGGGAGCAGGGCATTTTTTTCCTAGTTACAAACATATTTTGATGACAATGGTGTCGGGATCAGCTTAAGTGCGCCTCTACAATACAACTGGTTGCCTGCTACAATTTACCAGCACGGTTAATAGGTAATCTGTCTGCCAAAGCTTGCTCTCCTAAATTGCAACCACCAACGGTGCATACAATCTGTGGAGGATATTTGAAGAGAAGGTTTGTTTCAATATCATTTGTATACAACTAAACAAAGAGGCTGAGCTTAAGAATCAAGATCCCTGCATTACTACACTTTAGATGAGAAGCTCGAGAATGATGCATGATCTGAGAGATATTCAGCTCTAGCCTCCATGCCATTCAGATTTCCACAAGCCTTTCCTAACAATTTGGTGGAGACCGTCTGTAGCTCATCCCTAGTGCATTTAACCATATTGAAAGGCCTCTCGTTAACACCCTTTTTAGATAGGCCAAAATGTACCCAACAGCAATCCTCATCAATCTTGCAACTACTACAGTTCTAACAAGTCCACACGGTGGAAACAAAGGAATTTCCCTACTTTGTCTTCTTGAATCTCGTCTTTTTCCGACAGCCCTACCATGTACAGGATGATGCTCTACATTCCATTTCTAAGCTGACTGGTATCATGTGTTGAGGTGGTCACTCAAAACTGTTCAGAGGTGATTTATCCCTGCTTCAAAGGACACACTAACATGAGCTCCCAGCCTAAAGATCTCAAACAGAAAGAAATTTAAGAGGGATAAAAGATGAGATTCGGGTACTAAAGAAATGCTATCTTAGATACTTAACAGAAGTTGCCAATGATATCTGGCTAAGCATCCAGGAATAAGATGAGAACAATCATCCCTCAGACTGGGAGATGATAATGAGAATCCAAGTATCCTGCAAATAAGTGATAACACACATGCCAGTTAGCAACAACTAACAATAAGCAACTGAAAAACCAATTCTTGCCATCTCTATTTCCTAAACTAATAATAATAATAGGAGAGTCCCAGCCAAGCTGAGCAGCAAAAAAAGAGCATGCATGCTAACCTACCTACAACAAATAGAGGTGTACCTGATCACAAGAAGCAACAGCACATATGAGAAGACAGCAACTTACTAAACATATAACTCTTGAGATTCCATCGGAGATGACCAATAACGCAGGAGAGACTCCACAGTAAGCCTCCTAGTTGCACTGAGCATTGAGATGAAAAATTTGCAACCATCAATCTTGTACTCCTCGAGTGGATTTCTATGCCCAAAACTCCTCACATTCACCTGTTCCGAGAACACAGAAGGAAAATTAGTATAACACTCCCAATCAAGGAAAGCATAAATTTTTAACCGATGTGCAAATACCATACCGCTGAACTTAGTCGGTTCATGTTTATAAGATGATCCCTCCAGAAGCAATCTAATGTCTTCAGAAGTACTTCCCTCTAATCCACAGAACATAAGGAAACAATATAGTGAATAAGATTCTTTTTGAACTACTCATGCAGAAATTACACATCCAAACCCTCTATGCTGATCTAATCTTTATATGGAAGCAGTTATTATGCAATCAAATAGAGATGAAATGAGATAATAACCCAGTAGGAAGCAAAAGGATTTCTGGTCAGTGGCATAGTCTTATTTAATCCTTTAAATTCTTCTTTTTAAATTTTTGATGGCGATGACCGAGAAATCCCCAAGGGCTAGTGGTGCACGGTGCGAACTCGGTTGATAATGAACCCGCCTTCTACTCTTCTCCACTTGAGGACCAAGCAAAACTTGTGTAGGTTCAAACTGGTAGTGCAAACCACACATCATGCTTCGAACTCTTACTACTAGATCCGATAAGAGTGCAAAGGCCCTTATAATGAAATGGTTGTGGAAGTATGCTAATGACAAGCATCTGTTATGGGGAAGTTATTTACCCATATGGTGTGAATCAGTGGAGATCTGTATGGGCCTTGTGGGATGACTTCAAGAACAAAACCGAGGTAAAGGTTAAGAATGGGGAAAATACAAGCTTCTGGGGATATGACTGGCATGAGATGGTCGTTTTGAGGAATATCTATCCACACATCCGCAAATTCATGCTAAATCAGCAAAGAACAATTGCAGAGATGTGGACACCTGATGGGTAGGAAATTTGTTTCAGATGGTAAGTAAAAGAATGAGAAATCACAAGCGTTGCAGAATTCTTTTACACTATTGGCCACTTTAAAGGAACACAACAAGGGGAAGATAAGTTTTGGTGGCAGGGCAGTGACAGAGGAACCTTCAAGGTTGGCAAAGCATACAAATGGTTGAATAATCACAACCAATAGGCCCTGGAAAATTATATGGAAGGTGATATGCCCTACAACTACAAGGTAGCATGTCTTATTTGGCTCCTACCTAAGGAAGCTATCCTTACACAAGAAAATCTGATGAAAGGGGACAGCTTTATGTCCCAGATGAGTTTTTCGTGGAGAACAAGCAGAAAGTCTTGGACATTTGTGCCGTCACTGCAAGATCACAGGTCCACTTTGAAGGCTATTCATAAACCTCAAAGGTTTCTCCTGGTCTATGCCAGGCAAGGTGACAGAGGCCCTTCAAAGCTAGGGAGAAGCTGGTGTTCAGGCAAGAAGCAGATGTAGGTGGAGAATCATACCAGCCAGCATATGGTGGACAATTTGGAAGGAGAGAAATGCTAGGTGTTTTGAGAACATGTACATACATTTGGATAATGACACATCTGAACAGGAAGCTTCATATGATAGCATACCAATGAATTTAGGCATGGGGAATGAGCATAATGTTACCTCTATTTCCTTTACATATATAGCATCATATCCAGATTCTTGTATGGCATCTAAATAGCTGGCAATGAGGAAATCTCCCAGGTACTTTCGGAGGAAATTAACCATCTCTCTATACTTCCCATACCTAGCACAGAAAGTCAGACATATGAAATCAGTAGATTGAAATAAAGAAGTTCAAATCATTGAAATCGGTGATGTAGATTGTCATACTTGGTTGAATCATCAGAGCATATAACTAGCCACCTTCTGAAAGAAGAGGTCTTTCCACGTATACCTCTAAAAGAATTTGGAGTTGGAGGCAAACTTGGAAGGGAGAAGTTGTCAATAGATATGGATTGAAACTTCTGAAGTTGTACAAGTGAATTAAGTAATGCTTCCTCGTCAATCTCAGCAAATGAATCTACACATAATTTCCTGGTCACTTTATGATGCATACTTGCAAAATTCATAAATAGTTATTCCAGAATCCACTCTTACCATTCAATATCTCACCTGCAACATCTTTGAACTCCTCTAATATTTTGTCCAAGCACCAATTACTTGGGTGCTGTGACATTTGGCAAAATAAAATCAAGGAGAAAAATAGAAGATAAGGACAATGCAATCAAAGCATCACAAAAAAAAACTTGTCATACTTCAGAGAACAGGTTTAGCTACCTTTTGCGGATTAACATTCTTAAGGATAACATCATCCACCACTGCTTGCATGTATCTACATAGAATTATAGTGGTGGTGAGAAAATCTTGACCCTCAAAAGTATATTGACTCTGCCGAGGAAAACTTAATCCAAAACTTGTGCAACAAAGAAATGAATTTTCACCATCAACAATGATCTCTCATAAAAAGCCAAATACACTGATCACAGTGGTCTAACAGAGGGAAATAGACTAGAATATCTAATTTTTTTCAACTGTTTCACCATGTATAGATCCCAGAAAACACTGATCATGAATATAAAGACTAACCCCACAGAACCCTGAGAGTGAACAAATACAAACTTCCAGAAAAACTAAACCTGATCCCACAGGGGATTTTCGACCTCCAGATGCACTTGTCGTCTGGTCTATAGCTGTGAAACTCTAGTGAAAGAAGATTTCAAAAGGGGTCGAGGTAGATCTAAAATCACATGGAAGTTGTCTCAAAAGACCAACAATCTCTTGGTTTCAACGTGACGTAGCGAAAGATAGGAATTAGGATACAATGGAAGAAAAAAATTTAAATGAGAACACAAATTATCTGGGAATGCATCTTAGTCATGTTAATTTATCTCCTTTAGGTCCCTATGCTTTCTGGAGGTCTTTTAGCCTTCGGAGAGATTCTTATGCCAGTAGAAAATATAGAGAACCTCTAGTACTTCTTTTTCTTTTTTAATCTTATAAAATATTGGTCTATGATGAATTTAAATATAGAACATGGTTAGTGAGGTTTCATAAAGTGGACCCAACTTCCCAACTTGTTTAAAACTGAAGCATAGTAGTACTTGTTGTTTCGAACTAATGAAAGTAGATGCATCAATTTTCACATAAATAACGTTTCAAGATACCTCAAAATAGCATTGCGCATTTGGATATTCTACTGCAGGCACCAAGTTAAACATGGCATTAAAGGTCAAAAATGATGAAGAGAACTTGATATTATGTTCTATGCGTTGTTTTTCACTTCATAAAAGAATTATAACTAAATTAATCTTAGCTAAACAGTTCTGAAAGCACAACGGATTAAATCATAGAGCAACATCACAGAGTATCATAAGATGACATGCTAGTTGGTTGTTTGCTCAGATTCCATGCAAATTTTTCCTCAACTCTTCAATTTTTCGCTGAGAAACAAATTTTAGCAAAATTGGGTCCATGAATCTACAATCCCATACCAAACTTTAGGATCATCAAATCCCCAAGCCCAGCGATAGATATGGCTACGGAAGTTGGGCTTCAAATATATATAAAGAAAAAGAGGTTGCTAAGTAGCCTTATTCCATTCCATACCTTCATTAAGGGGTATAGGTCATTGTGCACTGCAAGCCTCTTATCAGCATCCAAACAGGCCATTATTTTATTTTACTCCAATATCCAGGATAAATTATTGATGCTTGATTTCCCGGAAATACTATCCTAACTTATAAGACAAGGGATCTTTACAACATCAGCTACACTTATGCTGGTTGTCTTAACAAAAAAGGTCTCCTCATGTTCATGATGTTATTTGCTTATCAGCATTTTGCAGAAGTATACTCCCTATGTCACAGTTTGTTGACTTGGTCAAAGTTATTTTGAATTTTGTAAGTTCTTGTAACAAAATGACTAAGTAATAAAATACATTAAGAGTATTACTCCCTCCCTTCTAATTTGATAGACCTAGGATCCAAGAAGAAAATCAAAGCAAGAGTTCAAAATTCTCAACAATGAGAATTAATGTGACACATATGATGAATTCCATAGTTTAGGCAGATAAAATAGATAAGAAAATTGTAGTGTAGCGTGGAAAAGTAATCCCGTGTAAGATGATAATGTGTCAATAATTTCTTTGGGAAAGAGGATATCATTTTGAGAGGAAAAAAAGAGAACACAAAAACTCTTTTTGGATGAAGGGAATATTATCCAGAGTAATGTATGGAGTAAAAGAATCATGACAATTGAAAGAAATTGACAAATAAAGGGATGGTATTCTAAATATGAAAACGCATATCTTCATGAGTGCAGATAGATGTGTTAGAATCCAGAGACGGCTGGTTCCAGCATTCAAATGAAAAGAATCAAGAGGCTCACTTGTAAATTTGCTCTGAACAACTTTCAAAATCTCCAGTTAAAATTAATTGCCGAAGATTGTAAACATGCTTTCTTTGAACCTGAAGGAGAAAAAGTAAAGCATATAATATAGCGAGAATATGGTCCTGCAGAATAATCTATATAAAAATAAATCAATAGATTAAATAGTAAAGTGCACAATTTATGAGTCAGAAATAGGGGAGAATATCCTAATTGAAAACAAAAGACATCAAAACAACAAAATTGTATCAGCACATGAAGTAGATACCTCAAGAACTTCATCGAATTCAACTAGGTTCTTTCGTATGCCAAAAAAGTATTTCTCAGCATTGATTTGTAAACCCAAAAGCTGGCAGTTAAGTAAAGTTTAATCATCACAATTAGAAGCATGTTATAGAAAGAGAAAAGAAAGATAAAATCATTAAAAAGCAGAAAAACGCTGAAACCAAACACAGAAAAGCCAGAGTTATCCATAAAAAACATGGGAAAACCCACAGTATATTAAATTACAGAGATAGAAACAGAGTGAACAGAAATTAAAATTATTTCGCACCTGGTTAACTATTCCGTGACCTTCTATCGGGAGATCTTCATTATTTGTAATCCTGGATATAAGCTTCACTGCCCACTCGGTGTCAAAGTTAAATTTTTGAAACATCTCATCTTGCAAACTGTAATAAGATGAAGAAGCTAAAATCAGGAATGACATCATAAGGATAACGGTTCCGTCACAGAATGCACTCTGCTTTTCATGAAAAACAGAAACACACTATATAAATTTATACAAGAATCTTGATATTTCACCTAAACCAAGAATATTTTCAGAAAACTGGAGGCGAGTAGGGGAAAATAGTACAAGTTGGAGATATAATAACAGCAGAAAAACCTAATGCACATACACCTTTTGCAATATGCAGAACTTAACCTGAATTAGGAATCAAGTATATGTGTAAAGGAGCTTTGCCTTTTTTACTAAATTAATAAAGAATAGAGAACTATGTTGTCTTGTTTGTTCTTTTATATAAAGTGCATAATTGAACCACCACCAACTGTTTATTTCAGAAACATATATACATGCAGCGGCAGATGGCCAGGCCCATTATTTTTAAGTCATGGCTGCTCAACTAATTTTAGTCATAAGGTTTCTAATATTCACATACGAAAAGGAGTAATATTTTCTTTCATCCAATTCATTGACTTGTGCACCCACCCATTGCTATTTCTGCAGTTTAGGTGCTTCGCAACTATATTTGCAATATTTTAGTAGTACCAGTATAAATTGTAAGTGCTTGGTCAAACAGAATGGGTGCTTTAGCACCCCCCACCACTTTGTGTGTTAGTCCGTCACTGGGTCATTGCAGACATGTGCATGTGTGTGTGTGTATATTATCTTCTTAAAAATAGAGCAAAGATACAGGTAAATACAATTTAATTCATCATTTAAGTATTGAAGAGGAACTATAAAGTTAAATGGGGCATCTTACCTCACCATAAATCGCGTTGATCCAGGATCACCCTGCCTGCCTGCTCTACCACGAAGCTACATGCACAACTTATAGATCAACATACATGGCAACTTAACATGTCAAAGGAAAAGAAATACAGAAAAGTTACATCATAAAAATGAATTTAAAGAAAGAGCCATCATGAATTGCCTCACCCAATTACTGACATTACACTTGTTCTACAGGTATAATCGAAAAAGACAGAATTAAGTTCCCTAGCATTCTACAGTAAAAAATAGCTGTTATGAAAGTTCAAGCTTGTGACAGAAGTCAACATGATAGAATTCTAACAAAAAGAAGAAGGATGAAACAACCCACCCCCACCCCAAAACCCCAAGAGAGAAACAGAACAAAATAAAATAAGAAAGTTTTCCCAAACTTCAAAAGCTAAATGAATTGCAATAGTCCTTGCCAGACGAGATACAAATTGTTTGATAGCGCATCCATGCACATTAAGACAACTTTAAACAAGGAAGCAACAGTACAAAATTCTGAAGTGCATATCATAGTATAGTGGTATAACATAATTATCAATTTAGGCCAAACAGAAGATTATACAACAACATAACAACAACATACTCAGAGAAATTCCCCAAGTTAGGTATGGGGAGGGTAGAACGTACGCAGGCTTTACCACTACCTCGTGGAGGTAGAGAGACGGTTTCCGAAGACTCTTGGCTTAAGTACAACAATTTCGGTATAAATAAGAAGAGGACAATGGAAGAGAATATAGCAATTAACAAGGAACAGCGAAAAAAGTAGCCAAAACAACAATAAAATCATGTGATAGTCGAAATACCATAACCAACATACTAGGATAGATTATTATTTTAAAAAAAACTCATAAACAATTAGTCACCCAAAGCAAAACCTTTTTACACTTCACTACCTAATACCCTTCTACACTAATATGTGTCCTTCACACCCTCCTATCTAGGGTCATGTCCTCGAACAGAAGATTATACACTTGAAACAAAATATATTTCCACCTTGTAATCATGTCTTATCCTTCTATTTTCAACAGTTAGTGTCTTCATAATACATTTGTATCAGGTATAAAGTTTTTTCCATACCCGTCTTGCAAAGACTACAAAATCAACACTATGGTAAGCATCTATTTGTTGACCTAAACTCCTAGTAAAAAAAAATAAAAAACCTGACAGTCATTTAGTGTCTGTATTTTTGCCTGTTGCATTTATGAAGAAAACCATGTTTAAACGGAGTAGTGCAAGCTCATGACTTGCTTTACATGAACAAGCAGTTCAAGAGGCCAAAGGTTTACTTTATATTTACACTTTCTTGATAAAAGTGTTAAGCTAGTTTTTCCTCCTTGAAAGTCCTACCAACCTAAAACTCACCTGGTTATCGATTCTCCTAGACTCATGCAGAGAAGTGCCAATGACATGAAGCCCCCCGAGCCTTTTCACTTCTAACCCTTCATTCAAACAGTGGGACACACACTCTTCAAGAACTGATACATAAGTTAGAGCAATGGATGGACCAAGAGGATAATATTCTGACTGCTCATCAGCCTGCTTCTGTAGCTCTTTTATCTCCACAGACTGACTCAGCTCAATGGATTCAGATATCATAGACTTTGCCTCTTGATATGACCATTTCTTGCTCTCATTTTTGCTAACGTGCTTAGCTAGATAATCAATATACGAAACAAAAACAACAAAGAGAAAGTTATCAGATAAAATAGTTAGTACATCAATACTAAGATGCTAAACTATTTTTTTTATAATGAACTAAGATGCTATATATAATTCACTTGAAGCTATCAGTTAAACTGATTTAGACTTTTAAGATGCTATTTGATTATAATTACTAACCCATCAGAGCCGCCTTGGCAAGCAAAGCTAATGATGACGGTCCAACTTTTATCTTTGACAGAACCTACATAAAAAAATACTATCAGCGGAGGAGGGGACCAAGACTTGCTTATTTATCTTATGAGTAAGGAAACGTCAAAAGAACCTTTTGAGAATTTGGTTCTCCATGAATATCAACTTCGGGAATATCTTGTGTCAGGAATGGAAGTATACTTTCCTCCAAAATTTCTTTCGCAAGCATCTTTGTCATGGAAAAGGTATGAATGTCATTCCAAGTGCTAGGGCCTAAATATGGCTTAGTACAATGTCAAACAACATAGACATTAACTTACCTTTGGATTTCCTCCCAGGATTATGTCAGTGCCCCTTCCTGCCATGTTAGTAGATATGGTGATTGCATATTTTCTCCCTGCTTGTGCAACAGTGTCAGCTTCCCTTGCAGCATACTGCAAGAATCGAGATAACATCAATCAATAGACAGCAAAATAGTATCACATGTAAAGATGTGCAAGTAGGAGATGCCAAAACCAAACTGAAATTATGAGTTAGAGTAGAGCTCAAGAGGAGGTCTGTAAAACCTTGGGACGGGCATTGAGGACATTGTGTGGAATTTTTCTTTCCTTCAGCAAGTCAGACAAGTATTCAGAATTTTCAACACTGCATTAGAATTAGTATTAGTCAAAACATACAGATAGTATAACATTAATTGCCAGCAAATGTGATGAACAAAAAATGATATTCAAATATTAGATGACTAACTGAGACCAAACATACAAATTTCTAGCAGTCCAACAGCATTCCTGTTCAGAGAAACTTTATAGGCTACTAGAGAGAAACCCGCACAGAATAAGAGGCAACAAATAGTCTTATCAAATAGCGGTATAATGAAGTCAAATTTAAAGCAGATACTAGTTTCCCTGTAGTGGAAAGAATGATCTCACAATGTGTCAAAAACAACTAACAGAGTGAAGTTAATAACCCCATTATTGCTTAATACTTGTCCAGTAAACTCAGTAGTACCTGGTATTGAAACACGCAGACCTAAGAAAATATTCTTCTTTGTTGAAAAATCTAACAGAAAAATTTTCACTAATATAAACCTATATGTCGCCCTCCCGAAGAATTAATATCATAAAATAGAGGAGGGCGAAAATAGGAGGATAAACGGAACCAGAGAAATTGAATGTCAGTTTCAACAGTTGCTATCTGCGTCCTTCTTTGTCAGGTTTCCCTTCTCTTTTTTTTTTTTTTGGCCACTTAATTACATGTTATATACTCTCTTTTGGATTTTTCTTTTGCTGATAGTCTAATTATTCTAACTGGTTAATTTCCTCTGTTGTGCTTGTGCACAGGAACAAGACAAACTAATCACTTTCTAAAGTAGCTTGTAGAAGGTACTTCTCTATTGATCCCAGTTTTCACAATGACATTTGACTGTCTATTTCATCTGATAACAATGAAGGGAATGTGGAAAAAGAGTAAAAAAGATCGAGGCTTGGTTACCTAGGCTAGACAGGCTCATATATGAGTATGTACATCATCCACCATATAGGGAAAACATTACCATGAGTGTGTTTACGAAATTATGATGAAAGAGATATATGACCTGCAGACCTTAAAGTGCTTCACAGAGTAGCTCCACAAAAAAATATATATGCACGTAGAGTATATTTGTGTTTATCTGTCTGCTTGCATATATTCATGAGCAGTTCTGTAATCAATGATTGTAGCATATGCGAGAGTCGATACTAAAAAACAGTTTCTTAATTTTAAAGCAGTAAATAAAACCAAAAATATTTGTCACAGAAGTACCTTGTTGTCCCCACTAAAACTGGACGACCCAATTGAAACATAAACTCAACTTCTTCACGAACATACTCCCATTTTCCTCGTGCAGTCTGAAGGCATAACAATAGAAAAAGCAAGCAAATTGAATTCAGAGACTTGGTCCTTTTCCTAAAAGCTCACTAAACTTACTTGAGTATGATAAAGATCTTACAGCAAAAGCTTGAATTGGCAAATCTTTACGAATGTTAGGCAAATTTGTCGGCACCTCAATTACTGGCACCTGAAACATCTTCAAGAATTCTTTTTCCTGCAGTTCACATTATATAGATGATAAGTATCATTACTAAAGCATAAACTATATTTGAGACTTTAGCTTTGACCCCACCTCAGTTTTTGCAGTGCCAGTCATCCCTGAGAGCCTTGGATAAAGCTTAAATAGAGATTGATATGTAATTTGTGCCACGACAACTGAATCAGCCTACAAAATGAATAGATCGTGCACTTTTAATGAATGAATTTAGCAGATACTAATGAAACCATTTTCAGAAAGGAGCAGTCAATAGTGGGAGATACTGTACCTGAATTTTAACACCTTCTTTAGCCTCCACGGCCTGATGGATTCCGTCAGACCATCGCCTTTTCTCTTCCACTCTTCCAGTCAACTGCAAATTAATACCAAGATAGACAATCAACATTTGTCATCCAACAAATATGACCAGAGCTCTTCAGATAACCATTCTCAAGGATTAGAATTTAATACACAGTTAGAGTAGCTTTCAAGATCTAAAATCACATGGACGGAAGTTGTCTTGAAAGACCTGCAATCTGCTGGAATCCATGCAAACCTACCAAAAAGTAGGAGATAATGGAAGAAAAGTATCTATATAGGCAATACCAATTAATTGGGATTAAGTTTTAGGCATGTTTGCTCATTGTCATTAGGTCCAATGATTGCTAGGAGTCTTTTACATAATATTAGACTGATTTTTGCCTATATAAAATGACACGGTCCTTGAGGATTCATATAACCGACCCCAACTTACTTGGGATTGAGACATAGTTACAGTTCTAGTTGTTGTACCAGAGTAGCTTTTAAACAGAATAGTATGACAGATAGTTACCAATTTACCATCGCCTCACAAACTGCAAACTGGTTTGGCAGTATGGCAATGATAGAGAGCCATTCTGAAAGCTAAATTTAGAAATCTGAACTTCAATTTTTTTAATAATTCGAAGTTGTTTTTGTTTCTAAATTCAGCTCAACAGAGGGAAAATGTGTTCCCACTTTTGTTAATTCACTATTTTAGGCCATCAAAGTTTACTTAACTTTAATTCTGGTTTCTGAAATTAGATATAATCTAAGGGCCCATATGGTTGTCTCGAAGGGAAAATTAGTCATGGTATATAATTTAGCATTGTTTGGTTGATTGGTGGAGAGAATTAATCATTGTACAAAATCCAACTCTTTTTCTACATTATTTGGTAGCTATTTTGGTTATCCTCGTAATTAATATTTGCACAAGTTATATGGAAATCTATGTAATATTTTAGGCAGAGTAGAATCCGGAATTAAAATACGGGTATTAGCAATATATGGATTAAACAAACTGAAATGACAAAAATAACCTCATGATGATCAGAAATAAGACTCCAAGAGCATGTTTGGATTGGCTTATAGTAAGTGTTTTTAAGAAAAAATAATTTTTAAGCAATTTTGGAGTGTCTGGGTAAATTTAAGAAGTGTTTGTAAGCACTTGATATTAAGCTAAGATGATAAAAACAAGCAAAAGTATAACTTAGAATTCTAACTCAAAGCCAAAAATCAAAAGCCAATCCAAATAGGCTCTAAGTTCTTTAATTAAACAAACCAAAGATTCGACACCAAACAATCACTGCATTACAATCCTTACATTACAAATCCCTGTATAACTTGTATTTGAACTACATGACCCTAAAAGGCTAAATACCCCGATAGTCCCTCAAAGTTGGCACAACTTGTCATGTGGACTCCCTTTTTATTTTATAAAGTAAATAATTTTAGTGAAGCTGGGGAATACCTTTTTACAAGTAGTGTACCAAAAAGTAGAGAAAATCGAACAAAATATGGTTCTCCGCATAAGTTACCTCTTGTTCCTCTCTCTCCATACTACCCACTAAGAGCCAGTAGGACTACATCCCATGCATTGGGTCTTTGCTATTTTCTTTTGAAAACCCAACAATGTAATGACTTCTAACTGTCCTTGGCGTAACCCACTATATTGTGAACCAATTCAAAACCTCCCAACATAGCCACATAGCTACCTGACAATGTGATAAGAGGTGATCCATATCTTCTCCCTGACATACACACATAACAATAGCTGATGTATGTAATCTGCAACCTTAACTTTGCCACTGACCATTTAGATACTTTTTCTTGGCAGATATGGCTCCTAAACACCTCATGCTGACATGGCAAATACTGTGTTTATTACTATCATTTGAGTGTGTGAATATCTTATATTTTGCTTTTCTCTTCTTTTTTCCTTTCAACCACAACCTCTGCCCTAACTTCCCTCAGAAGAAGAATCCGGAAGATGAAAAAGAAGCCGGCGGTGGGTGAGGATATTTTCAATCACCTCATCCCCTTCAACCACCATAACTTCACATATTCATTCGTATATTTAATTTTCATGTATGACAAATCAGTTTTTTCTTCATGGGTTGTGGTAGAATTTTTGTGTAAAAGTTGGATGCAGAGCTTCTCACCACATTACTCGAGCAGGAAATGTACTAAACCTTTTCCCCTTTCACATATGCATAGAAATATGGAGTTTATGCTTTTGGTCTGCAAGTTTGTGACTCCAGTTCTCCAAAGTTCCCTAGTATAGACCACTGATCAGACTGATAAAAGTTTCCTCCTCACAGTGTCAACGTAGTGACTTGATTTATACATAAAATAGTTTCGCAATGTTAAGAATTATTAACTACTGGTCGAACGACAATCTTTACAAAAATACGCAGATTATGACTTTATCTTAATACTGAGTTACTGATCATACCATTATCATTTCATGGTTGAAAAAATACTAACAGTTCCACCCAAAGGGTTAAACTGAATAGAATAAGGAAAGGCAAGTGATGAACAAAATGACAATAAAATCATAAGTGATAATAAAAGTGACCAAGAACACATTCACATCTTATGAGGGAGACTTGTTCTGCAAGTACCTCATTAATTATAAGAGCCTTCCCATTTCTAACAATGTATTGGACATCACGCTTGTAAAACTCCTTGGCTTTTAACGCATTAAATACAAATCTGCAGTGTTTGGTTTAATAGTTAAAAAAGAAGTACCTTATACAATCTAACTAAAGAAAAAAACGGAAAACAAAAAAGCATACAGAGCAACAGGTTAATATTTACCTAGCCCATGGATCATTCTCATCCCACAAGTCACTTGTTTCTAGGGCCATCTCAGCGAGTGCAATTCCCTCCTCAGTTAACTCCACAGAATTATCCTTAAGCTCTATGCTATAATGCTGATATTACAAATAACATCATTATCGTGCAATGTTGCCACAGAGCTTAAGTTTTAAAGAGATAACTCAACAACTTGGAACTCACAAGACCCTTAATAAGCAACTCAGCTACTCTAGCAGCAACAGGGTAACGAGCAGCGTCCTTATTAGCCTGAAACAGAATGCAAAATGCAATTTTAAAATTAAATAAATTAAAGACAGACAGATTTTTTTTAAAAAAAAAAAAAGCAAACACAAACAAGGAAAACTGAAAATTATGATATCCGGCTAACAAAACTCATGCAATCAATAGTTTCTGGTCTCATAAAGAAAAAACTAATATCTTTTGGATAACTCTATGAACAGTACTTTGACAAGATAAGAAAACAATGAGACATACCTCACCACTTATCAACAACGGATTTCTGCCTTCATCGATGAGGACTGAATCAACTTCATCAACTATAGCAAAATGGAAGGACTTTGGCCTGTTTGTACAAGGTAAATATGAACCATCACATAAATTAACAAGAGAGAGAAAAAAATGTAATCAATGTTTACCATCTCATCACAAGTTGCTCATGACTAGTGGCAAGATTATCTCGAAGATAGTCAAAACCAAGTTCCTGGCCATTCAAAACAAGAAAAGGGAAGAGGTGGAGAAAGGGAGGCACGAGACATGTAGTCGTTAGGCTGTCAGAAAGCTTCACATGTCCAGCAATTAAGAGAAATAAAGAAGTATAGACCAGAAAAGGTACATGAAATAACAAGTATGCAAGTGAACAACATGAAAATCACTACAACTTACTGAATTATTCGTATAGGTTATATCACAACTGTAATTAGATCTCCTCTCCTTGCTCTTCATCCCTCTCTGTGCATAGAAAGAGTTACTATGGTTGATTTATAACAGTTGGTCTCTAAAAAGAAAAGGATCAAATCCTCGAATTACGTGCAATTCTTGGGGGAAAAAACTATTTGTAAAACAAAATTTGAGAAAAAATTCTAGATTAAAAAACTTAATATTGAAATTACAGACAGCTGATTATAGAAAATTACTTGGATAAGGCCAACAGAAAGACCTAGAAAACGGTGAACACGTCCCATCCACTCAGCATCACGTTGAGCTAAGTAATCATTCACTGTTACCACTGTCACAGGAAATGCCAAAAAAGAAATTAGTAAACAGCAACAAGTATTATCTACATTTACACCATGCTAATATTTGCCAGTTCTGATAAATTATGTAGATTTGAGGTAAAACCCCGCATAGACGACTCATTCCTGAATGGCTAATACTGAAGATAACTCAACAAGCATCCGCAAACACCTTTTATAGTTGGTAATCCTGAAGCTTTAGCAGACAAAAGTGCTTTCTAAGGAAGTCGAAATAGGTGGAGAAATTTTTACATGTATACGTGTGTGTATGTAGATGGATAGATTGATTGATTCGTAGATATATACATGCACATAAACACACTCAACACAGCATACCATGAACACCCTCTCCGGTTAAGGCATTAAGATATGCCGCTAACGTGGAAACCAAGGTTTTCCCTTCACCAGTCTTCATCTCTGCAATAGCTCCATCATGGAGCACTGCTCCTCCAATAATCTACGATTACCAATTAAAGCAGAATGATCAATTTGCACTAGTAAGGACGCCACATCTGTAATAATATTGAATTATTCATGATGTGATTTATTCTTATATTTATTTAATTATACCAAACATCAATGCCTGATATGTTTATGCATGACCACTAACTGCTAAAAATATGGACCTGTGTTCTTTTAATGGAAATTAGTAAGAAAACTGAAGTATGCATTAACTGTGGAGTCGGACAAATCAACATCCTTCAGAAGATGCTATGTTATTGTTATACAATTAACGTGGTCAAGAATTACACAGGAGATACCTGAACATCAAAATGGCGCATTCCCAGCTTCCTTTTTGCAGCTTCACGAACCACCGCAAATGCCTCTGGAGATAGAAATGGCAATGAACATGATAAGAAACAAGAATTTAATTCCTTTTGACTAAAAGACTCGGTATGTATTAGCCAAAAGATAAAAGCATATTGTCAGACCAGCTTGAATATGAGCTAGTGTCTCTCCTTCTCTCAAACGGCGACGGAACTCTAGAGTTTTTGCTCTCAACTATGACAACAAATATCCAACAAGATAAAACAGTTTTAGAAAAGGGGGGAAAAGAAGAAAACCAACACAAGATTAACAAAAATGACACTACAAACAAACCTGCTCGTCAGAAAGATTCTGAATTTGGGGCTCCATGGAATTCACAGAATTCACCAACCTGTAATAATCTTTTACAACCCAGTTGTTCAAGCTACTAAACCCACTCCAGGATTTTCTCACTTCATTCGCTGTTTCCTTTTAAAACAAACAAAAACTGGGAAAATGAAGCTAACAGAATTCAAACTGAATGAAACGAGAAAAAAATTTGTTCTTGCGAGAAAAGCAAATTACTAAATTATTGTACCATAAGAGAAGCAGAGACTGGTGAGAGAGTGCGCCGGCGGTGAGTCTTGGAAGGAGAAGGAAAAACAAGCAAAGGGTATGTAGCAGACTTGTTGAAGAAGAGAGGAGTGAGTAGAGGATGGTGGTTATTGCGGCGTTGCTGCCGATATTGCAGCGGCACCAGTGCGGTGTTGGAGGCTGCTGTGACCATTGTTGCACTGTTGTTGAACCTTTTTTGCAACTAATGTTCTCTTTTAAAATTGGACAAATGTAATGTTCTAAAATTATTTTTGTTGTTTTATCAGTAAATTTTTATTTATTTTAGATTTGATCCTGAATTTAACTTCTACCATCAAGTAATTGGCTAAATAAATATATTAGAAATCTTAAATTGGTAATTATTTTTCATTTTCCTTCTTATTGAGCAAAATTATACATGAAGAACAATTGAATCTTGAAAAGTGTTATTAAAGAAGTTCTTAATGAAAACAAAGATGAATATTTTTAGCATAGTACTTCAATTATTCGTATTTCATTTGATGCAATTTAAATTATTTTTTACCTTAACCTTTAAGTGTATGCTAAATCGGTTAATCTTTGACTTTCTAGCCTAATAAAGAGAATGAGTTTACTCCCTTTCAATTTTTGAAAAGTTAACCTCTAACTGGATTACTTAACTATTGTTAATTACCACATAATTAGATTCCTGATATTTTATTTTTAAAAAAATATATATTACATGGACAAAAAAATGACTACAGGTTTTTTTAAAAAAATCAAAGTTAAGTAACTTCATAATCTTTCAGCTTTGCAAAAGCTCTAGATGTTAGATGGATGACAAGTTTGAATTTCAACATGAATATCATTCATTCAGAGACAAGTTGAGAAGATCACCTATACATATTTATCTGTTGAAAACTATACACTTCATGTTATGATGTATACTAATATCATATACATTTCTCTTCAGTCTTTTTTTTTTTTAAGAGTATTTTCTTGATATCGTAAATTTCTCAGGAGCCAAGAGGGGTCCAATTCCTTGTTTACTTCCTTAGTGACTTAAGGTGAAGGGTGTTTCCCACTACGCTACTTCAACTTGGTACAATACTACAATTAGTTCCTTGCAGTTGCTGAGACAAGATGCTTCTCGAAAGAAATAATTGATAAAACTATCCAAAAGTGCTTTCAATGATTCATCTGACTGCAGAAATAGTACACCTGAAAACATTTGATAAGATACATCAGGACTTCATGCTTGTCAAAGAAGCATCCAACTGTGTCAAATAAAGAGCTTTAGTGTGAGGATACCTTGATAACTCCATCAGCTTGTCCAACAAAGAGCTTCCCGTGCCAGTGGAGTAGAGCTGTTACTACAGAATCACATGTAATAGATCCAAGAGGAAAGGCATCTATCTGTTCACCATCTCCACATAGTTCCTATAAAGCAGCACCTTTAAGCTAGTACAACTTCAAGTACCATGAATTACAGTAAAAAGTTCAAATTAAATCATCAACCAACTCCAATTTCAGCATTTGGATGATACATGAACAGCACAAAAACTGATATTTTCATATATATATATATATATGGTCTGCACATACCTTTACTTTTATAGTCTTGTCCCAGCCACCTGTAAAAATCCACTTCTCCTTCTTGCAAGCAGAAAAGACGGCACCCTCGTGTTCTTGAGCAGATTTCACCAGAACATCGGCAAACCAAATCTAATGGAATCAATTAAAGCATGAGGGTATCTAAAAAAATTAAACAGATGATCTATTTTTAATTCATAATTACTACTAGCTTGAACAAACTTTTTATCTGCTTTGGATTCACAACAGTACCTTTGTCAAACCGTTCTCATAAGCTGCAACAAGTACATTCTCATCAACAGCAAGACAAAAAACTGAGCAAACACTCCCTGGGGCTTCTTCCCCCAAAACTGCCAATGGACTATGATCACTAAGGCACCATAACCGTACAGTTCCATCCCAACTACCACTGTAAAGAACCTCATCACATATTGCTAATGAAGATACAACTGATTTATGGCCATTCATAGTGCATGATAGACTGTAATCCTGGAGAGTGAGGAAGGAAGCAGTATTTCAATTTCTGCCTTGAATAAACTAAAAAATCACAATTAGAAAGCAACAGGAAATTGCCTGCAAAGACCATGCTTTTATAGACTTGTCACCGCTGCCAGTATATAGATATTGGCTTGCAGAGAAAGCAAGGGCATGTATACCACTATAACGCCAGTCCTGTTGCTCCTGTAGTTTCTTCAGTGGTTCTGGACTTAATGGAGTGCTAGCTCGCCAAATGCAAATTGTGCCACCATTATCACCACTAATGCACAGCGGTTCTCCATAATCTACAAAAGCTACAGCCATAACTCTTTGCTCATGACCTTTGAATGAATGTACATGAGAATAGTCCTGTACGTTTGGTGTGAGGGATAAGAATAAATGGTCCTGGGATTAAATTTTAGTGTCTTGTTTGGTTGCCATGTTTGGGATAACTTATCTCACCATTATACCATAGTGATGGGATAAGTTATCCCAAGATAATTATGGGATAACTTATTCCCAACCAAACGAGCACTGAATAGTTGTATAACTCAAGGACGCTCATGAAGAGATAGCGAAAGAGTTTTATCTAGTAAAAATACATGCTATATCAATAATATATCCGTAATCTAATGAAAGCCGTGCTCTAATAAAATTTAATTTCGAATAAGAGAAAAGGATAAACCATGATAGATCTTTTCTTTGATAACTGAGAAACCACAAAGGCTAAGGAACTCCGTGGATATGGATCCACCCTTCTACAGTTCTACCCTTCTATTTAAATACCAAGCTTTTGTTTATAACAGTGTTCGAACACAAGACCTGCACCTTAACCACACATCATGTAATGCGCTCTTACATTAGACCAAAACCCTGGGGGCATAATAAATTGTAATTTAAGTTCCACCTAAATACTGTAGTATCAATATTTTGAGCCAGCTTAAATTATCTACAGGACCATATTTTAAAAAAGATAACTGGAGAAAACTACTAAGTATAAAATAAGAGCAAATTCAAGCAGGTAAACTGATGCTACTTTTTGAAGTATGGAGATTGTACGACCAAAAGAGATAAATAATATTCGTATCATTTCCCAAGTTTCTGCAGTTCATCTTAATTCCTGAATTCCTGGAATAGAGTGAAATATTTTAAGGTTTAAAATAGAACTGCTGATCTAGAATCATAAGCAGCTTGAAAGTAAAACATACCCTTATCCAAGTTAACAGCGTTGTAGAATCAAGATGGTTTCTCATTCTCTTTCGAATTAGATCCCACAATCATAATTATGCATTAATAGATACCAGAAAATTAATATTCTGAGACATTTTAAACTGCATCCTGCCACAGAGACCACTTAAGTAAACCTTGGGGTAATAGCTCCAATTTCCAATAATGTAAATGTCCAGAAAATCTGTAGCTTAAGCTGTTATAAATAATAGGACGATTCAAGGATTACCACTCATATGTCAACTAGTCTAACACAGTTCCTCCAAAATAGCTCCTAAACATTTCTTATTCATTTGTATTAATCTAAGTATGTCATTTTTGGAAGACCTTTTGTTATCTCTTCATTTCCAATTCCTAAGGTCATAGGCTAATTCCACAAAGAGGATCCAACAATGACTTAGTCCAAATCCTATGCCAAATGATGGACTAATTCATACATATACTAGCTTTAACAAGTTACCTGCAAAGACCATACATTGACCATTTTGTCAAATGACGAGCTGAACAGAAAGCCACCTGAAAGGAATAGAAGAGCAAAAGCCAACATCAATAGTTATAAGAGCATTGAAATTGACCATGTTTTCTCTAAGCTTTATGCAAGAAACTGCACATAAAATAAGCATTAAAAACCTCAAGTCGTTAATAATTGCAACAATGCAAAGAAAAACATCTATAAGTAACTCAAGAAAGACTGTAAAACTGAATATCAAAGAGAAAACAGTCAGTGCTTGTACCTCCAATCGCTAAACCTGTGATACAATTACGATGCCCTTTTAGATCAATGCATTTCACTTGACCACAGGAGAGGCCCTCAACGACATCCTTATTAGCCCCGAAGTTTTCAACCCCCTCAGCCTCCTCTGTGTTTGCATTTTCCACCACAGAAGTATCATCAAGGCACCTCGGTGATTCTTTAGTAACCTTATTGATTGACTGACACAAGTCTTCAAGAATTAAGCAATTACACATGTTTTCCATTCTTATTTCCTGCTCTAAGTCTTTTACATCATCAAGTTCAGATTTGATCACAAGAACCTTTAATATTTTCCACAATTCAAATATAAGTGGCCGACTTTCAGGATTGTATTCCAAGCATTTGAGGAGAATCTCCTTCATATTAGCAAACTCTGACCCCAAACTGCATTCAATTAGAGTTATAATCTTTTGCCTCCACTCCATGTACCATCTAACAAATTCAAGACATTTTTCATCTCTTACTGCACTAACCAGATAACTCAAATATTTCTGCATCTCTTCAGCGAAAGATTTCCCAACTAGAAGTGAAATAATTGCACAAGCTAATGACCAAATATCAGAACCATATCCAACATGATACCTTGAGCTGCCTAAATCTATCACAATGCCACCCAGTTTCGACAACTCAAAGAATACCTCTGGACTAACAAAAATACAATCTTCCACCATGCTATTTTTTAATCTCACCACCAAACCTTCACTAGCAGTTCCACTCTTGCCAACAACAACCTCTGTGAGTAGCTTGCAAACTCTCCTTCCAGTTGCCAAAACTTCACTAATATCAACATAAACACGGCCAAACTTGTCAAAACCAAAACAAGAAAGCCCCAAAAAACCCAGAACCAATCCTCTTAAATGCAAATCACTCACCATTTGACATATATCCAAACCAACTATCACAAACTCAGCTGCATTACAGATTTTTTCCTCAGCATTTTTCTCAACAACTGCATTCCTTAACACACCCATCTTCCCTAACAAACTCCCACTAAATGCCTCAGAAACCATGTAGACATAATGATTATCAGTATTGTACCAAAATCCATAAACCTTACACATTACATGAAGAGCTAAACTTGCTTTAATAATTGACTCCAACTCAGTCCTCTCCCCTTCACTCAATCCATACAATACACTCATAAGTTTCACTTCATAACTATATTCAAACTTACACGAACATGAACCCTTAGCAAAATATCCAATTTCAAGAAGACTAACCTTTTCACCCTCTTTCAAAACACACCCCATAGAAGAAACGCTGGTGGAGACCTTTAAAACCTTCCCATAAGAGACAGAAGCGTTTGATTCGATGATTATAGTGTCTTCCGGCAGGACCCATGTTTTCCAATTTGAGTAAAACTCATGAGACCATAAAGGGGGCTTGATAAAAATAGGATCTTTATCATATTTTTGGGTTGAAACATGAGAACCCTTTGAGTTGTCGTTGCTGTTGTGGTGTGTAAGAGTAAAGAAGCGTAATAGATCAATGTTCTTGGGGAGAGAAGAAATGGGGTTGGGGAGTTTAACAAGCTGAGTACAAGCTGGACAGCGGATTGTACCTGGAAAGGGGTTTTGTATCTGTGACAAGCAGTCTTCACAGGCGGAGTGGCCGCAGGGGAGGACTCGCGGGATGGTTGAGACGTCACCGTATTGTTGGAGACAAACTGGACATTCCGGTAGCTCCAGCTCCAGAGTTGACTCTGCCGCCATTTTAGTGGACAGAAAACGAAATGATCAAGCAGCCAGACCCACAGATTCAAAAGGTACCAAAGAAAAATTGCTGAGGTCTTATTTGAATTAATAATATTTTATTTTTAAAAAAAAGATTACTTTATAAATATAATAATAATGTCATAACATTATTTAAATATTTGACATAGATATAATCGGATCTATCAATTCTAACTGCAATGTAAAATAATGAATCAGTACTATAAAAGCAAATGTGTAAAAATTATACAACTATAAAGGCAAATTGGTATGCCGAAGAGTTTTTAGCCTAGTTAGCGATTGGAGTAGGTCTAGTTTTATCATTATATATATATATATAATCTCGAACATCATTAGTCTCCTTAAATAAAATTCTAGCCTTTAGTTTTTAGTCAAAAGAGATTTCATTCTTTTGGGGTGTGTAGCGACACAAGTTTGCTCCAGAGATTTTTCGTATGTATATACACAAAAAATATGTTTTCTTTTCAAAAACACGATGTAAATCCATGAACAATCCTTTCTTGACAAGCAGTAGCACTTGCCCAGGCGATTGATAGAAAACCAAGAATGGCCAATACTGGGATGGAAAAAAAAACTTTATTATGATGAAAAATTCAGGTAAGCTCAAAACTCAGGTAGATCCTCCATCTAACTATTAATTAAAGCAAGATAAACAAACATATACGGTCTTTTAGCTTCCGAATTTATCCCAAACTGAGGGATTTTATGCAACATGTATCTTTGACAGTTTAGAAAATTAAAAAAGAAAAGGGCCGCCTCCATTTATAGCAGCAACAAGACTGAGCATGTACAGAGAGTCAACTGCAAGAAACAAGAAACCACAGCTTAGAATTCCAGACTTGAAATGCAAACACAAAACTTCAATAATCCTCCTATGTGCCAGCTTTGAACCCATCAAGTCATAAAATCTGGATACAGTTAGCAGATAAAATATTTTCACATCCACAAAATTCAGACCTCAACTAAATCCATTACTTAGGTCATTCAGCAACATAAAATCATATTGTCCAATGTCTGTAAGTATCAATTCAATCTTTTTGAGCAAGACAACGAAATGGTCATAGCAAAATTATAATGAGCATTAAATACTGGATGGGGTTCAACTACAACATTGATAGAGCCTTTGGGTTCTCTGTTGGTGGAGCACTTGGATCAGTTGTACTGGGTACATCCACAACCTATTATTTTATCCTTTGGCTAATCTAATGATGGAGCATAAGAAAAGATGTTGCTAAGAGTCAAACAATCGTTAGTGTGAAAGTTTGCACGGAATGCACAAAAAAAAAAAAGGAAAAGAGGCACCATGACATGTAACGCAATCCACCCCATCTCTCGGAGTGGTTTAAACCCTTGAAAATCTATTCATCTATTGTGTTAGTCGTTCATCCTGAGGTTTTCATCTCATTGCACTAGAGCCTAGAGGTATATTGCTATTTCAAATTACTGGACCGTGCAATATTTGCAGTTATATATATTGTTGAATGCATGGTTCCTCCTGTTTTTAACCAGAAAAATTCTATTACAGAGCCGAATCCTCATTCATTTCTTTAACCGCCTCCTCTTTATAATCTCAATACTTGCCCAATTTTTACACAGCTTCCTTCAAACTTCCATATCTAGATCTCATAATGTCATCCTTTGTCTTCCTACTTATTCTGTTCTACTATCCCGAAAGAAAGAAAATTCTTCATTATTCACATGCAGAATCCTACACCTAAACCTTAGAAAATCACATTATCTGTCTCCCTGTCGTATTAAGGTTGCAAAAAGGAAACCTAAACAAGTCATACACCTACTATACCTCATCATCTACAAACAACCTATTGAAATACTTCTCTCTTCTAATTCTTATGTGCACATAAAACCCAGTGTACTAGAATGACATGAACAAGGGATTAATCTCAAACTACTGCCTTACAAATTAGGACTATTAATTAAGCTGACCATTCATTAACAAACTAAAAACACACATAAAATTAAATGAGGCCAGCAAGTAATTCAATCATAATAGACTATTCATCATCAAGTGATTCACAATCAAGCGCTAGATCTACAAAATCAACCAATGACTAAACTTACTTCTTGTGCTTCTGTGCAAATCGAGAGTTCTTCTTATCTTCCTCTACAAATCAACCATTACATAGATCAAAATCAGATCCGATGGATAAAAAAATGAAATTAATATTACAAGATGTGCTCACCAGTTAGACCAAGGGACATCTTGGTGATGATAGCGCCGGTGACGGCGAAACCAACTAGGAACGGCCAGTTACGGCTCCATTCACGACGGAAGAAAACAGGCCATGGATCGAATTGCCTCATATTTCGTAGTTAGGTTTTCCGATTGAAAATGTGGCAGCTAAGCTATTATTGCTTGTTGGTGACAAGGTAGAAAAAAGGTGTACTTATAAGATGGGCCTAAGCTAACTGAGCCTACTATAGTTAAATTTATTTATGGAAAATATAAAATATGAATTAAAAGTGAATTTTAATTGTTTTTTTAAAAATATATTATATTTGTTTGGAGAAAATTACTTATAATTTATTATAAGTGTATTAAAATATGTAATAAATTTATTATTTATTATTGAAATTTGTATTATATGTGAATAAAAAGATTATTCTCTGTAATATGTATTAAACTTGTATTAAATAATTAAAAGTAATCAAGTGGAAAAAAAATATTATCGTTATAAATGGTAAATATTTTTTTTATTTTAGTATATTTATGTAAGTTTCCCTTTATTTATTTTTATTTTATTTTTTAGCTTGAACTAGATTTTATTCTTATTTATTACTATTAAATAATAATAATAATAATAAAATGGACTAAAGAGACACAATTTCAAAACAAAATTTAAAAAAAATGGTAGTTATCATGCTTATTGTCAAATTTGAATTAAAAAGATAATTATCAAAATAAAAACTTAATATTTAAAAAATACAATTTTATTGAGATGTGAATACAAATTGGAAATTAATTTTTTTAATTTTTGTGAGTAATTTGATGCGAATACATCATATTATTTTTTAAAAAATTAAATATAAAATTTTGAGATTCAACTTTCAAATTAAGTACCAAATTTTTTTGATCAAATACTTTTTAATATCGTTATTTAAATTATATTTGGTGCTAAAAATGATTTAATATCTAATCAAAACTTAAAATAAGCGGCAGGTGTTGCTGCTTCTTTCATTTGTAAGTTCAAATTTTTAGCTCAAAATTTTCAGAATATTATGCTTTGAAGTTCAGTTTGTTAGAATGTTTGGAGTTGAGTTCGAAATTTTAGCATATTGTGTATTGAAGTTTAGTCTGTTACTTCAAAATTGTTGAACATTTTATCTTTTAAGTTTGTTTTAATTCAAATTTATGTTCTTAAATTTAATTTTTAATTCAAAACTTCATGGACATTATTTCTTTTAAGTTCAATTTTTTATACAAAAATCAAGATTTCATGTTGGATTATTTTATTTTTTAATTAAAAAACACCCATAGCTACGATTTCAATCTTTAATTTCTTTTTTTAAAAAAATCAGTTTGTTTAGAATCACTATATTTAAAGTTTGAACGATGTAGTTTGAACGACATGTTTGTATTTTGAAGGTTCAATTAAAGAAGATGGATCGAGGAGAACAAAAAGGATCAACAACAGTAATGGCCACTTTGATGATTAAGATAATGCGTATGTTCATAAAATTGTGTTATTAAATTTGAAAATTTAAAATTCTGAATTTCATATACTTCAGTTTGAATTGTTTAATTTAAGTTTGATTAATGCACTTTTAATTTAAGAACAAGATAGCTTATACAATTTGGGAGGTTATATGTTTGATCTATGAAATGAAATTCCTTATTAATGTGGATTTCAGAAGAAAGGGAGAAACGGACATTGCTGTAACAATCCTTTCAACTGTTTTATGAATTTTATCCTTTTTTTATAATATAGTAAAATAAAATTATAAAACTACATCATTAATAGTTTAAAATAATTACAAACATGATTTTAAAAACTCATAAAAAATAAAACTTCTACATGAATATACAAGTATAAATAATCTAATATCTTAACTTTCTAATAATAAAAAAATCATTATTTCTAAAAAAAAAAAAAGATTATCATACTACACAATTTACACCCTAAAAGAAAGTAATCAATAAAACTTTTTAGTATTATAATAACAAGGGATAATGCACAAGTACCCCTCAATCTATGTCCGAAATCTCATAGACACACTTATACTATATTAAGGTCTTATTACCACCTGAACTTATTTGATAAGTAATTTTCTACCTCTTTTCGGCCTACATGGCACTAGCTTGAAAAAAAAAGTCAACCAACGTTGGTCCCACAAGATGGTGTCACGTAGGCCGAAAAGGAGTAACAAAATACTTATAAAATAAGTTCAGGGAGTAATAGAACTTTAGTATAGTATAAGTGTGTCTCTGAGATTTTGGACATAGGTTGAGGGTTACTTGTGCATTATCTCTAATAAAAACATCACTCTATCATGAATAAGAAATAAATTACTTTCAAATAATTAAATAAATATGATAATGTTGAGACATGACAAAACCATGAAGACCAACGATAAGTGAAAAAGTAATTCTTTTTTATGTATTTTTAAAAGAAATGTTACGTAATATATGATACTACAACTCTTACCCGATAGTAAAGATATGATACTACAACTTGTTATTCAAGTTACTCTAAGTCATCTTATCTCTATAGATTGGAAATATTAAGTAACATTCATTTACTCAAAAATTATAAAGTTCAACAACGTTAACTAAAAGTTCCAACACAATTTGTATAAGATGTTAGGCGAGCCCCGAGCTTTAGACATGCTTTGGGCATATAGTCAGATGATAAGGATGTAGTCTTATGAAACTTAGCCCACACTTGAGTCTCTAAATGTTTTGCTAGTCTCGCCCCAGGGTGAGTGCAACAGAGTCTGTTAACAGTATTACTGATTACTAGCACATCACTGAAATATTTGATTGCCAGACCTTATAAAAAACAAGGATATAATCAAAATGAAGAGCCCAGTTATTACAAGAGAAAATAATTTGATAATTTAGACTTTGGTGATGCAAGCTGTTGTAGAGTCTATTTAAGCAACAAAGTTCATCATAAGATTTCACTCCTTTCCTGAGGTACATAGAAAACGAACCTGTATCTCCTACATCTCCGATCTCCGTTTGATGACTTCAAAGATACCAACTCCGTAGCTAGCATTTCTGCAATCTTGCCCAACCAATAAGCATGGATGCCCCAAAGGTCCTGGTCTTGATAATGTTCCACTTTGGTTTACTGCATCATCCGCAAGGCTTTGATCCAATCAACTTCAACTCCAAAATCACCAGGCCCAGATTTCGCATCTGGAACTCCACCTTCTGCGTTGACAGATAAAGACATACCAACGATTCGAGCTGGATTCATCTCCATCCTTGCATTTATTATGTTCCCTCTCCATGTAGGTGCGTAACGAGTAAGTGGGATCTATTCAGCCAATAAAAGCAATCTACTTATCTTCTCTTCGCCCGCAAATTGAACAAGCATTCTATTTGAACCTGCTGCGATGTGATATAGCTTCCACACCACATGAAGGATAAAAGAAATGAAGAACTTACCTTTGCAATATACCAGTTGTCTTTTGGAACAAAAACGAATGCTTGCCATGAATTATCTTCATCTTGTCCTGGACTATTGACCCAATTCTCTGTGTATATCTGCAGTTAGGCTCTGAGTGAGATAATCCCACAGTTCATCCAAATATCAATAGCGGCAGTTCTACGAAAACATAGAACTTACTGTAGAAATATAGCATCTTCCATCCCCTTTAAGTTTAAGAGCTATTGTGTCATATCCATCCAAATCAATGAAGCCATCAAACTGCAAGAAAGAAGAATTAGAAGGAAAAGCCACATTACTGTAGATAAAACAAAACATATCCTCTATATCGTAATATTGTGCAAGGGGCAATCAGAATGACATGTGAGCTACAACAAACAAGTTCAAGTTTTTTTTTTTTTTTTGAAATCTCACCACTAGTGCCTGCTATATGAGAATCACTCTTTCGATAAAGCCAACTAGTGTTACATTAATGGTTTCATAGCAAATGAGAGCAAAACTTTGTTAATTCATTAAGTTTCACATGGAAAATTTGAATAATGAAATACATTCTTACCAATTGACTGATTAAAAAACTTGAAATGCAAAAAAAAAAAAAAAAAAGGAAGAGAGACCATCTCGCGTGCAAATGAAACATAACAAACTTTAATGAGGAAAGCCTTTGCAAATATAATGAGAGTTCTTTCGTTAAAACAAGGAGAGCAGAAAATGAGGGGAAAAGACCTAACATCCATCAATATCCCCAGTCAAAAGAGATGGTTAACTAATAGACTTGAGGAATAGATCATTCAACTCATTCACATCCAGATCATGTATATTTGAGTATACAAATAAATTTGATAAATTCTCGTGGGGGCTTTCTATTTATTTTAAAAAGATTGTCTTACCAAGCAGGACCTGCTGGGTTGGTCTGTGGGCCATGCCAATTCCTAGCTGGGTCCAGTTAGAGGGTCTGACCGTCTAAGTAATTGACCCGGCCCATGCCCCTTAAGTTAGAGGATCAGACAAATCAAGAGTTGGAGCGGGAAGTTAGGGGCCACTTAGAGACCTGTTTGCAGATGGCTCAAGCGGACCAAGATGCCACTCCGTCCATTATTTTTCTACTTGTATTCAGTTACCATGTATTTTTTTCCATTTTGGTTTTCCCAGTAAAGTCCTCTTATTCTCTTGGTGTTCTAGGGCTTTGTCATCACTTCCTTCAACTTTTTATCTTGAATCTGTTACTTATCATTATCAAACAAGAAAAAGACACGAAGCATTTATTAGGATGGTTGAGTAGCATTCACCTTTTTAGACCGCATTCCACAAAAGCCACTTCGAGTCATATTCCACTTTGATCCTTCCATAACATCCAAAGAGAGGTTTCCAGAGAAAAGACCTGTCAGAACCAGTTTATATTCAATGAGAAAAGTAACACTAATTATTGTACATTAGTATTTAACATCTTTTGAGATACTTTCACGATTATCACCAAGAAACTTGTCTACCAAAGACAAGATTGAAGAGGGACATGGGCGAGGCAGAACAAAGGAGTTACGTAAGTGGAATTTTAGGCTCGATTGTATTCCTGGAGGTCAACGGCTTTCTCCACATACAACACTGAAGGCCCCAAATAATGCTACTCCAATTATAGTGCTTTTACAGCAGCTATATAGAAGCGATCCATCAATTTATTTTTTTTGAACAAAATTGAGTCGGTTATATGAATTGTTGGAATTTGACTATTTACGCTGCCTGTCAACGATCTTCCATTATCTGGAACTTGAGATCACCTATGCTCTGCAAGTATAGGTTGAGAGATAGAAAAGATAATGGTTTAACTATTTTTTACCAGTTAATTCTTTGCACATAGCTAATTCAGTCGGTTTGCTTCCATGGAGAAGAATTTCCACAACCAGACACTAAAGCCAAATGCAACAATATTATTCCAACAATTTACGCATTAAATATTTTTAATGTCATAGGAGCAATTAAAGCTCAGTATTTGAAGTCCATAAAGAGGCGATACAAAATAAACTTATATACGTTTGATGTAGAACCTAACCAAAAGAAATTCAAACATGTAGAGAAGTTACTGTGTCTCAATACTTTAATTAAATCTAAGATAAAAGGTCATGGCTTTAGCTTACTAAGACAAACTTCAAAATGCTTGCAAGCAGTGCATCCATAGTTTCTTACCAGCGAGGAATTTGAGATTGTAATACAGCCTCTCTACCTCCACGAGGTAGTGGTAAGGTCTGCCTACACTCTACCCTCCCCAGACCCCATTAGTGGGATTTCACTGGGTATGATGTTGTTGTTGTTGTTGTATGAGTTAACGTAGTTATCTGAGCTGTAAAAATAATTGTTTGTATTGTTTTCAGGGGAAAACAAAAGTTCTACATTAAGACTTCATAAGTGAATAAGAACAATTAAAAAGGAAAAGGGGAGGTCAACAGAAAAAGAACAAAAGGGAAATAAAGAACAGTATGCACACTCAAAATAAATTACCAACACTAGTTGACCCATTTCCAGTGTCCTTAATCTCCAAAGCTGCTGAGGACAGACCTGAGATATTATCATCAGGATATTTATTAGTCACTAACTTAATCTTTGATTTGGTGAACGCTTGGACAAAAGAAAAGAAAGCCCTCAGTCTATAGATGCCTTGCATGATTATTGGAGACTGTAGTCATTGACTAACTTTGTAACTGCTCCATTTCTTGGGCACTCTCCTTAAGTACCATCACCCTGATCTCTAAGAACAACTATTAGGAGCACCTCACATAATAGATGCAGATATGAAAAGACAAGTGTATTTTGTAAACCAAAAAATCTAGGCTTTCTAATTAGATGCTCACAAAAGTAGAATATTCTTTCATAAAATTGTTGGTCTTTTATTTTAGTTGGATTAGTCCAAATAATAAATTCATCTCAAATGGAAAACAAATGTGTTCTGAAAAGCTGAGAGTCCACCTCCACTAAGAACCCCGTGCAGAATAAGGCTATGAAAATATATAACTAAAGGGAATAAGGAATACTGATTGCAAATAACAGGTCGGAATATACACAAAAAAGTTCTTGTTTGGCTGTTACCAAGTATTCGTATTACATGTAAGAGAAGTATGTACGTTTGTATACCTCCATATTCTGAATCTGAGTATAAATGCCAATTCTTGAGCTCATCCTTTGAACTGAAGTTGAAAATGTATCTTTCACTGGGTGGAACTAGGTCTTCAATGTTCCACGCGAGTGCTACAGGTGAAAAAAGTTATCACAAATCAAAAGTTGCTATAACTGATAGAGAAACGAGTAACAAATTAAGAGCGTCATTTTACTAGCATGCTGATCGATGAAGAATACACTGTTACAGACCTAGCGAAGGATTGGTCAACACTTGTCAACTTGAGGGAGCTAGATAGGGATTAACGCAAATCCATGAGATAATACCAACACCCATCACAAACTAATGAAGCAAAAAGCATGAGGGAAGACAACAAGAACATGACAAAGAAGTTAATTAATATTAACAGCTAAGCACGTCAACGGAGATGTGCAGATCAAAAAGGTTATCTATGCCCTTATTCTTCTTTCTTTAACATTATTTGCATAAATGCTGTAAAGAACTCCTGGGGTCTGGGTCAATGATTTTTATCTTTAAACCTCACTCAACTCCTTTTAAACATACAAGCCTCTCCATAATAGACATGAAAGGACACCAAAGCAGAGACATCTCTAAGTTTCTAAAGATGACAGAAATTCTTGCAGATCACCAGCCACTTTAACTGTCAAACTGACAAGAAAGGACTTATGAAAGATGTATCTTCAGTGCAGCACAAATAAGGTTTGTGAGTGGAAGTTAGGTGAACTTGGATGGAGAATTGATTAGGATTTAGTTGGGATTTCATTTGTGACTAAGTGAAGATGTCAATCTTGATTCTTAGTTGCTTTCATCTGTTGTATAAATACCATTTCACATAAATAAAACTCATTCTTTAGCTGTCAATTTGGATTTTCTTTGCTCATTTGTTAGTTCATAGCTTAGTCATTATGAAATTCTCATTGCTTTTGCTATTATTTGAGCTTTTTTCACTTGTGATTCTGCACTTTTACATCACAAGATGGGATTAATTAATATATGTTCCGTCTCATGTCAGCTAAACGGATCAAAAAATGGGTTGAATATCAAATCCTAGTAGTATTTGGTAACAGGAAATAGAAATGAACAGTATCCGCTAAAACAGAAATGGAAGCAGCATGGGGATTAGGGTGATAAAATTCCAGAATAATCACGTCGATAATCGTTAAATACCTCTTCTTGTAGCATTCAACGATGCTTGCAGTAGTGAGCGGAATCTGGACATATTTAACTTCCGCTCCTCTAAGAAAACTCCTGCAACATTGAATTGAGAATTCCGTCAAATTTCAATTATTGCACAACAAAAAGCAAGGCATGCTACTTTTAAGCTTGAATCCTAGTTTTTGCTTTTGAGCTCGTTCTTTCCTTTCTGTAGCTCCTAAACTCAGCACATATATGGATACCAGTTTCTCGAAATGATTTTCTATTAAATGAACTTTATCTAAATCTATAAAATAATTTTATGTTGGGTGGATTCGGTTACGACCTCAAAATACAAAACCTATACTGACCTAATTTATAAATCAAAATAGATTTTTGGACGGATTAGATCATAGCTCATATATTAACATAACCTGCTTTGATCTGTATAAATTTGACCCAATCTACCAATTTGAAACTCCTAGACAACTTATCCTGCTAATTTTTTCTTTAGATGTATACGATGGACGGAAAACTTAATTTGATAAGATTAAAAGTGCTGTTTAGTTGAATATATTCATTGTTACTTTCAGAAGTCTGTTCTTTTATGTTTGGAGTCGAACATTTCCTTTTTGGGGCTGAATTTTTTTGTTACGAGCTGTTGGTTTACACTGCTAATGGAGGAATTGTTGCTTGCTTATTGTGTTGTTAAAACTGTCTTATGAACTAATAGAACCAACTCTCATTCGTGAGAAAACTAAAGGAAGCTCTCTTAGACTTAATGTCACAGAGTGTACTTAGAAAGATCATTTAGGTATGTATAATTTTCAACTCAAGCAATTCGACCAAGAAGTCCAAGGCGTACCTAACTACCACCAAATTTACTCAAAACCAACTCCTGATAGTGCTTGGATAATCAGACTTCAGTGGCAAATTCAACAAGCACACCCATAAAATGGAGATCAAGTTTAACAAAGGGTCAAGTCAAGCAGCCGAATAAAAGAATCCATTTCAAGAGTTCAAGATTTATGGCTACAGATTAGCATACTGCTCCATGTAGCAGTTTCCCTCTCCCCAATATCCACTTCCTTAAGAATTGGTCAAATCTGAACAAAACACTTTAAATCCAACCCGAACAACCCGACGCGCACTCGTAGAAATATCCTAATGTCACAGGCTACTCAGACAATTTATCAAACACATTGCAGGCAGAACTTCAACCAAAATTTTAGCAGAGACATGGTTAGTTGATTTACATGGAATTATAGTTCGATGCAGCACAAATACATCACAATCATCCAACAATACCAGAATTGTGCTGTCTAACTCCACAACAAAAGGAAAAGAAAAAGAAAAATAATTCTGTAAGGGAGAGAGAGAAGAGACTTACCTGAGAGCCACTGGGAACCTCGACTGGTAATAGAGTTTTGTGATCGTGGGGTGAGCGGACATATAAAACAGGGGAATGGAGTGAATTTAATTTAAAAACAAGCCCAACTATGGTTCGGGCCAGTCGGGATACGGTTTATTTGACTTTGAAAATGGATGATTTTATATTTATATCTAAGATATTAATTTTATATAAAAAGCTTATCTGCTGTAAGGCTTGATCCTTGAAAATAATTCGTTTTGTATATACGATGTTAGCGGTGCATCGTGATAATTGTTTCGGAACAAATAATTAGTTTTTATGGAAATCTTTTATTTGTGATAAATTGAAATTCTGTATTGCTATATTAATTTATTAGAATAAGAAATCTAAGGCATGATGACACGTATACCAACTCATCCATAGGTAAGTTAATCATGTATCCAACAAATATATATATATATCTAACTGAATGCAACTGTTTCAAAATGGACAGAGAGAGAGAAAGCAAGATTAGAAAAGAAAGACACAATTGAATATGGTACCAATACTATATTACACATTGAAAGATATTAGATTATTCAAAATCAATAACATGATTCAGATTTTAAATATTTGGTGCTTGTCAGTTTCTTTTTTTCCCATTCATACAACTTTAAGATTCAAATAGACATTATATGTATTAAATTGATTTAATCGAATTAAGCGTCACAAATGGAGATATAATTGGCTACATTTTCAGATTTCACATCAACAACAACAATTGAAGCCTCTCTTTTCCTAAAATAAAAACCAAAATCATTATTACTAAGTAAATTTGAAAGGCTTGTAAACTTTAAGATCAGATACAACACCAGCAAAAGAACCAACAGCTGCAGCAATTGAGACAATAAGACAAGTAACACTCAGAATTTGAAGACCAAACCATTTTCTACTCCATTTTGGTATCTTCTTTTGCACAATGTATATTTCCACTGGATAATAAACAGTCAACGGCCAAAATCCAAATGCTCCAAGTATTCCAACGATGTCGCTGAAGAATGGCAACAACATAGAGATGATAGTGGATATGATAACAAAGATCGTCCTCCAAACTAGTCTGAATAGGTAAATGTTGTACGATTTAAAGCCAGGGATTGGCACACTAATATTCTTGGTGATGATTTTACTGTTAGGGTACCATTCTGCTGCTGTTTTTTCAATGAAAGCAAAAAGGGGTTGGCAGTAAACCTGGTATGCACCTACAAGATGAACGAAGATGGCTATGTTGGCTATATCTAGTAGCCAATAAGGGTCGTAAAATCCAAAACCAGTTAGTAAATTGTCAGGAGCATGGTCTCCAAATGCTGCATAGCCAAAACAACCACATAGCATGTAGAAAACTGTTGTTACTGATACACTAATTATAGTTGCATTTTTCATTGTCTTGGCTTCTGAGGGTGGGGATTTGATTGTATCCTGTATTATATAATACCACAAGTTAGACATACGCGATGGAATGAAGTAATTGATAAAATGCTTCCTATCGTTACCTGAATCTCGATAAGGATGAGGGAGTAAGAATAAGCAAAAGCAATAGCTCCAAGTGCTTGAAAAGTTCTCCAAACTTTTTGCATTTCAGTCACAGTTCCAATGCTCACTCCAGTTAAACTCCCACCAATTTTTCCAGTTTCTTCAAATAATAAAAAAGTTTAGAATGAAGTTGCAATGTTTCTCCTGTAAAAATGTAGGTAGGATAACAAACCTGCTACATGAGCAATGCCTAAACCTAAGCCGATGGTGGAGTAAGTGAAAGACATTACAGCAGCAACAATTGAAAGCCACCAAATTTGATCAAAATCTGGTATTTGTGAGAAGATGATTTCTATTACTCCAAATATGATCATATATGGAGTATTTGGTTGTAAACAAGGTGCTTTATGACCATGTTTATGAAAACAATCTGACCTTTTAACAGCCCTGTTCCATTTTACATAAAAAAAAATATTATTACTAGTAGAAAAATTGGGGGTAAACCTCGCTAATAAATACACTTACATCAGGCTAATTGAAGAAGCAATTGTGTACCCAATAGCAACTCCAAACAGATTCACATACTGAATCCATCCACAAATCTTTACCTGTAAGCCACCTGAAAAAAATAAAATAAAAATTTATTTCCCGTTTTGTAAAAACATATCCTCTTACCCCCAATTACGAGACTAGTAGAATAAAACATACTGAGATTTGCTTGTACAACATCCATGTAAGTATAGTTTCTCTTGCCGAAAAGTGGGTCGCCGGAGCGGTAACAATCGGAGAGCAGAGAAGAGGTGTAATAAGTAACAAAAGAGAATAAAAGCATAACAATAGGACCAGCAATCCAACCAAGTTGAGCTACAGCCCAAGCCAAAGATAAAACGCCTGAACCAATCACAGCAGTTATGATATGAGCACTTGCAGTCCAAACACTTCCTGCAACATTAACAAAAAATTCAACAACAACAAACATCACAAATTTTTATTTAAAAAAAATAAAATTAATTACCACTTCTTTTGATACGCCCATCGTCGTCAAAAAGCTTGGATTCAGTTATATTGATAGAAACAGGATGTTTTGCTGCAAAATTCGTAGAATCTCCCATCTAAAAAAGTAGAGTTTTTCTTCTTCTTGTATAGTTTTATTAAAGAGAAATTCAATAAATGCTTAGTTAGGCAGATTGCAGAGAGGAAGAAGCAATAACTCTGTTTTCAGAGTTAAAATTGACTCAATTTTAACTGAAAAAGAGTGTCAAATAAATACTCCAATAATTTCTCAGACTTTAATACGAACCAAAAAAAGGTCAAACTCCGCTTCTTTTAAAAACACTTTATATATATCTGCATTTATGTTTACAATAATATAAATCAAGAAAATCAATAAATATTAAATTCCTTTTTATCATTGACCATACAATATATGTAAATTTTATTTTTTAAAATTCTTAAAGATTATGTGTTGAATGTTAAGTTAAAATAAAAAAAACTTAACTAAAGACTAAAATGTAATATTTTTTAATTATGGAGATATTACCTCATCAAACAAACTTATATAGCTATTAATTGAATATGACAAAATGTTTAAATAAATGATTAAACTTATAAAATGGTACCAAACGAATTACAAAACAAAAATTATTGTGATGTGTAACGAATTTTAGAAAACTCTAATTATATTTGATAATTATTCAGACCATTGTTTGAATATAGTAAACCAAAGTTGACAATTCCCAAAATAGCAATTGGACCCATTAGAGTTGACTCGATAGGTCAAAATACGACTTTTTTTTCTACTAATATAATTTTTGTAATTATAAAGTCATGTTTGATTAAATTATTGTCATGCCTGTATAAGTGTGAAATTAATGTACAATACACGTCTGGCATAGTAAGAGTAGAATTTTCTTAAAATAAAAAAAATAAATATAAGTAGATATTTAAATATTGTGCAAATTTATAAGTATTCTTAAAAAAAATATCTTGAAAATTTGTATTTGTAACATTTATCAATAAAATTAAAAATTTATCTTTTTATATTTTATTTGCGATAACAATTTATTTTTATCACATTAAAATGCAAACAATATGTTCTTGATTTTTAAAAATAAATAATATTTTGCAACAAATCTTTTAATTGAAAACGACGCATAGTATATTAAAAAGGATAAAAGAAAGTAGTAAAATAAGATAAATATTTGAGATTGAAATAAGAAAATACCAACAACATAACAAAGGTTATGTCTAGCTCACAAATTATATTAAAAAAATAATTTGCATTCGACAAACTTTAAAGCATGAACGCAATAAAAAACATGTCACATATTTCAAATCTTACCTTATTTATTTAAAAAAATTACTTATTCAATCAATTCAACTTGGAGGTTTGTTAAAAAAAACTACATGTTCTTAATTTTCTTTTTCATCTTAGTTTTGTTGTCTTTGACTTATTTATTTTTGGTGGGGGATAGGAGGGAGAGGTGAAGGGCAGTTGCTTTCTTTTATGAACTCCACTGGTCGTCCATGGATTATAGGGGCTTTCCATTGTATATAAATACACTTTCCTATCCTACTCTGCAAATCCCATTTTCCTTAAGCATATAGAAACCTATGATTCCAATTTGCATATGCTGCTGCTTTGGTGAGTTTAGTGATCATGAGAGTTGTACTTGTTACTCTTATACTCTATCTATACATTTTCAATCGTCATATTGCGTATTTTTAAATTAATTTTTAAAATAAATTAGATTATATCAATTCAATACTTTTAATAAAAATTTAATTATTCAATATTTTCAATAAAAAAATTAATTATTCAAAAGCTATGTAAAAAATAATTTAACTTGTATTTTTTTACATATCAATATGATAAAAAAATACATTATAAAATATTAGTTAAAATACTTGTCATTTGACTCTAAAAAAAAATCATAACCATTAAAAATAGACGAAGTAATATATGACTTCATTTGAGTTATTGCAATTTTTTAATTTTGGGATAATACATCTCCTTCTTCGTTGCTTTCTTTTTAAGCTATATATTTTATTTTATTTTATTTTTTCTTCGACTTGATTTTGTTATTTCTTTTTTCAAATTTTTCGGATTTGTTTAGTTATATGATATAAAATATGATATGAATAAGATAAAGTTAAAGTTTTGTTTAGATATATTATTTGAATTTTTTTATATCGTATGTTTCCTCAAGTGTCTTAATTATTTATGCAGTCTATCCAACTAATTAAAAGTTTATAAAATCGCATTATACACTATCATAATGCTATTTTTAGAAATATAAATTTTATTAAACTTAATTCAATAAAAAATAAAATTATACATAAGTTGTATTGTTCAAGTTGTTAGTAGCAAAGAAATTATTTTTGCAATTAATGTCACAATGATTGATCTTATCCACTAAATATAATAATTTATTTTATTATTATTAAGCATCGATGTGAATGAGATAGTTATATTTGATAAAAAAATAATGAATTTAGTGAATATAAATGATAAATTAAAAATCGAAAGTAGAAATAATTTTATATTTGAGAGAATAATCATTATATGAGATATAAATGATTTAAAAAGTAATGACATGAATTACAAATTTTATTAACATATAAAACAAATGACTAGTAGATATATAAACTTGAGAGATTTTTGTATTTGAAAAAAAAATTGTATCATGATTTGAAGTTCTCAATCATGATTTTAGAAAATTTGAGATTTCATCTCATGTTTTCAAATCATAAGATAAAATCAATGTAAAATTATATGTCCAAATTCTAATTTTATTTCATAATTTCATATTACGAGATAAAACCACATGGTCAAATGTCACACTAAATCGAATAATGCATGCAACACAACACCTATACATATTTTTTCGGTCTACTTATTACTCAATTTATTTGAATTTATGTCAAATCTTTTAAATTATGAGATTTAATAAAGTTTTTTTTAATTGTAATTTTTTATGTGTGTTTTAAATATTTTGAATTATTAATTATTATAAATATTTTCAAACTTTCGAATTGACAAAGAAGATGAAAATTTAATTTTTGAATTTTGTGAAGCTATTACAAATTAAAATTGATTGATATCAATTAGTTTTGCCTGATTTTTGAAAAGAAAATCGTGATTTGCGGAGAAAAAAATCATTTTACATTATATTCCATATTAATCACAACATACAAGTTATATAATGTATCACAATTAGTATATCTGAATTAAACTTACATTCGAATGGCTAAATAGAACTAAGGTCTTACACTATGAAATTTCTATAAATTATACTATATATATTTGAGTCCGGAATTGAAAAAAATAAAAAAATAATGATTGGTATATCAACTTTTTTTAAAGAAAAATCAAAAGGGCAATTATGTCAAATCCTCATCTCTTTCTAACCTTACTCATCACTTGCCCCCCACCCACCCCACACACACCACAAATTTCACAGACATACATGAATTAAAGATTGGATTTCCACAAAACATATATCTAAAAAGAACACACGGAGAAAAATGAAATTCACACAATACTTTATCTTCTTCTTCTTCATTTTGAGCTTTGTTTCATCCCATGATACCAGCATAATATTCACCACCTTAGGAAGATCAAGTTATGCCTTCGACATCTTCGCTCTTCCAACAACACACCCACAAACCGAATTCCAGTTGACCGATGGCAATTCCGTTAACTTTAACGGTCATTTCCCTGCCACCCTACCACCTTCCCTGCTCTCCCGCCTACCCGATGATGATTCTGTCAACTCTGGGTTTCATCTTATCTATGTAACTGAAAGGAACGGCACCCACCATGTATTCTATGACGCTGTATTTCATGACATACTTGAGTTTCCATCTCAAACTCGACTTCAGGTTCCTTTGGTAGGTTTTGAGCAATCAGTTTCTATGAAAGATAAGCCTAGTTTATCTGGGGAATTTTTGATATACGTATCGACTCATGAGGATTCCGGTGTGCCTAGGACTAGCTGGGCTGCGGTATATTCCACTCATTTGGTTTCCGGGTTCACCCAGAGGTTGACACCTAAAGGGGTTGCTGATTTCAGCCCCGCAGTGTCTCCTTCCGGCGTTTGGACGGCGGTGGCATCGTATGGGGGGGAGAAGGGTTGGAGTGGGGAGGTTGAGGAACTCGATACGGATATCTATATTTTCATGACTCGTGATGGGTCGGGTCGGGTTAAGGTGGTGGAGCACGGTGGGTGGCCATCTTGGGCTGATGAGTATACTCTGTATTTCCACCGGAGATGCGATGATGGGTGGTGGAGTGTGTTCAAAGTTCTACTTCCGAAATCAGGTGTCGACTTCTTAGTCTCTGTCTCTACCCCGCAGCGAGTCACCCCATCGGGTTTGCACGTTTTCACACCAGCATCTTCTCCGGTGAACAAGAACCTCATCGCCGTCGCTACCAGAAGAGCAGGTTCAGAGTATCGGCACATCGAGCTATTTGACGTCGTTTCTAAGAAGTTCACAGAGATAACCCGATCCTTTTCATCTTATGCTCATCATCTGAACCCCTTCTTTTCGCCGGATTCTTCCTGGGTTGGATACCATAAATGTCGAGGCACAGGCGATATACTGTTACTGGAAAATCTTCTAAACCCGATACCCGGAATCTCTCTATTCCGGATTGACGGGTCGTTTCCATCATTTTCACCAAATGGTGATCGGATAGCTTATGTTAGGTTACCTGGATTATATGTGGTGAACTATGACGGATCAGGTCTGCGTCAAATTTCATCTAGAACCGCCTTTTCCACGGCTTGGGACCCGAAAAGAAAGGGGGTAATTTACACTAGCTTTGGCCCAACATTTGCTAGTGAAAGCACACAAGTGGATATCATTTCCATCAATGTAGATGATGAAGACTTGAGCTATAAGCAATTGACAATAGGAGGGAAGAATAACGCATTTCCGTCCCCTTCACCTGATGGGAAATGGATCGTCTTCCGATCGGGGAGATCAGGTCACAAGAACTTGTACATAATGGATGCTTTGGAAGGAGAGGTGGGTGGTCTACGTCCATTGACAGAGGGGCCATGGACGGATACCATGTGTAATTGGTCACCGGATGATGAATGGATTGCATTTGCATCCGATCGAGAAAACCCTGGGTCAGGTAGTTTCGAGATGTATATGATTCACCCTAATGGAACAGGACTCAAGAAGGTGATCCAGAGTGGTATAGGTGGGAGGACTAACCATCCTTATTTCAGCCCGGATGGCAAGTATATAGTGTTCACTTCAGATTACGCCGCCGTATCAGCTGAGCCCATCTCGAATCCTCATCATTATCAGCCATATGGTGATATATATGTGATCAAATCAGACGGCTCAGACATACGAAGATTAACACACAATTCATACGAGGATGGTACGCCCGCTTGGGGCCCTACTTTCATAGAACCTATGGATGTAGAATGGCCTAACGGTGGTCAGCCCTGTTCTTTTGAAGATTGTCACTGGCTGAATGTTAGGACTAATGCATCCTTCGGCTTAGATTCTGCCAAGATTCAGTGTGCTCAATGAACTTCTCTTATAGGGCTAGAGTGTCTGTGCTATATGTAAATTATAGAATAATTATGTATCTGTTGTCTATTGTGACTCTGTAAAATATTTTTGCCAATGTATACGGTTGAATCCTTGATCAATATAAATTATGAGCGAATTAATAGATGCAATAACAATGTGTCTTTTTTCTTCACCCAACTTCTGTACAACTCGATATTGAGTTGCACCAGTTGACAGGACTAGAAGTCAAGGCTTTGATCAGTTGGGATGTTCTTCTCAATACTAATTGGCACAAACTGCCAATAGTTCCATAAAGGAATCATTACTGAATAGTTTCTGAGCTAATGAAACAGCCAGTGGCGCTTCTTCTATACACAAATTGACTAGACAAACTAAGCCAGAGAAAAACAGTAGAGTACAAGAGACTAATCCTGCAATGTCAATGTTAATGACTACAAACAAAGATGCTCTGCTAAGGCCCCTCAAGGAGAGAAAAACCAAGAATGAAGCTCTCTTCCATGGACATTGCAAGTTAAAGGCTATATAAGACCGAATGCCATGAGTTAATCCAACAGACAATTGGAACTACTGAAGTAGATGCCTCTTCTCACATTATCTCCCTGGCTTAGCTGCTTATGTTCTGGAAGAATTCTACAGGTACAGTTGGAGGGCAATACTTCTTTGCAACAAATTTGTACTGTTTAAGAAAACCAAACATTAGAATAAACTCGATAGGAAATTTATGCAGATGCCTACATGACTCTGTATGTACATGAAAATACATGTCTATCAAGTCAATTTTCAGTTATCGTCATTTGACTAGTGTTGAGAGAAGGTTGATCTTTTATCCCTCAGATAGGTTGTTGATAGCTTATCCAATAAGATTCAGCAGACACTAATTTTCCAATATGAATGTTCAAGTGCAGTCCAGACCCCAGTATACTTGCTTGGAATGAACTGAAAAGAGAATTATGCAAACCTTGTGTTGGCTGTATTTTTCCCGGACTGCTGGTAAGCTAGAATTGTTGTTGTTGCAGCAAAGGCTGTGTAGTGCCAAGACACAGTCTCGTAAATCAGAGGGTTGATACAAAGTATAATGCCTCAAGGTAGAATTCTGTATTAGGAGTTTCCAAAAGTCAAATTTTATAAGAATATATTTGTCGAAAGGAGAATAAGAAGCGAAAATGCATTATAACAGCTTATAGGATTGTCACAATGCTAATTCGTACATACCCAAGGTTTCACTGAAGGAAGAAGAATATATTTGGCCAAAAAAATTGCAGAAGCAGCAATGAGTGATGGAGCATAACAAAGCATGTTGTATTCTAAAAGAGAGAGTTCTGCAATGTAGCTAGCCAAGTGTTCCAACTGCAGTGACAGAACCTGAAGATCTTAAAGTTTTAATCAACTCTTGTTTCCTATAGAATTGGAGAATTATCAACTTTAAGTGAAGAGGTTACCTCATTAAGTCCTTGAGCAGCTCGAACAAACCTCCTGCAGTATATCTCAACAATAAGTTCCTAAATCATCATACTCAAAAGAACTAGATCTTGATAAGAATAGTAACCTCAGAAAACATTTGGCTGTTGGAGCTGTCATTTCAAACTTCAAGTAATTTAAAACAGCAGACTCCATTTGCAACACCTGCATAATATGTTAAGTCTTAGTGCCACTACAAAGTTCGACCACTGCAGGTTCTGTGAATCAAGATCATATACCTCCTCCTTGAAGTAAGTGTTGTCTGTTATGTAGCAGAACTCTTCAACTTGAGGTGCACAGATCTCCTCATATTTTCTGCAATAAAGCATTTCCCATATTAATGTCTTAGAGCATTTTCTTACAGATATGCTTGAAATAATTGAGGACACAAGAATATGAAAAACACTCAAGGAAAAATTTGTAAAGATCATGGAGAAAACATATGCAGTAGAGGTCAGAAGGTAGTTTCTTACGATGCGATCATCATGCAAGCTACTCCAAGCAACTGTAGTCGTTGTCTGTCCATCAGGTTGCCCGAAAGATATCGATCAATGTAGTTAATTGTCAAATGCAGCGTGTCTGGGACAAGCCTGTACTCCTCGGCAACCTATACCATCAAACAAGTTCCCTATCAAATTGACGAATTTCTGAGCTCATCCACATTAATTAAGTCATAAGTTGGGCAGGTTGACATTTCATCAGGGACATAGCTTTAGAGAAAAAAGATATTAGAAGTTTACCTCAACAAGCCAGTCGATTAAGATAGCGCGCATGCTAGGATTGATGTCTTTCTGTACTTTCGCCATGAAATCTGTGGAAGGCCTTTTCTTTGCCTAGTACAGTGATCAAAGATGACATTAAAACATGTTTAATGATAAATGTTAGTAAAACAGCAATTCAGTTTAAAGTTAGCAGCAGCATCCAATTCAACGAGCTTAAAAAAGATAAGAGGGTAAACATTTTTATACCTCAGAGGCTCTCAAGTGTTTGTATATGTCACAGGCCATTGTAGCACATAACTGTGGGTCAACAAGATTGTTATCAATGTTCATAATTTTGTCCCCTGATTCCAAGTCCACAAGTACATCTCTCTTGCATATATCAGCTGCTGGAATCAAAAATAGATAAATTGTATTAAATAGATGTTATAGTTAAAAAAATGAAATGCCAGAACAAGGACTATTCTCTGCTGAAAAGATCAAAACCTGCGGCTTTGACATGTTCTGAGATGTAGAGGGTGCTACACGCTTTCTTCTCGATGGAATCAACTGCAGCTAATTCATGGTCATCTATGTATTCGACCTCCGGACTTCTCACTGTGTCGGAATTTGACATAGATTCATCCATGGAGACTAATGATCCATCTGAATGAGATGGAGAAATGTCCATGCTGCAAGTGGCAGGAACAGGAATGACAGTGATCTTAGGCACAACTGCATCACTTCTTTGAATAGAAACAGGTTTGCTGCTTGGTCTCACAGAGGAGGATGCTGGCAGAACAGCAGTCCCTGAGGAAACTGCATTACTGTTGCAAGCAGAAGTGTTCTTCTTAATGTTTACAATCTTGGATGTACATGGTGCCTTCCAAAGCCAAAAATGACCTCAAGTTAGTCACAACTTCAGATACAAGAAACAGTCTTTTTTCAATTTACACACATTGCAAAACAGCTTACTAAAGAAAAGGTTTAACCCAACTGTGAAAACTAAAAATTAGCAAAAGTTGCTCAACTTCTCTGCTCATTTGTGTAATAAAATTAAGAACAGTAATAAAATCATCTAAGGAGACAAAAAGCAGGAATTGGTCCACTAGTTCACAGTAATGACATGCTAAACAATTCATGTTAACACTGAAAATAATAATCTAGAATGCCACTGGTCCACTTCATAATTGTCCAATTATACTATGTCCATTTGAAAGAAAGCAAGAACTTTTGTTCAACTTAATAACATAAACATTAGAACTTTCTTCAAATATTCAAAAAGCAAAGTGGAAGATAAACAAAAAGCAGGAACTGGGGGAAGATTGTTTCAAATTTTCCATTCATAACACTTTCTTATCATTAAAAGAATACTTCAACTCAAACTTTAAAAAAAGAAAAAACAAATCCCTCGATAACTAATGCATTTCCTGCACAAAACAGTGAACTTGTTTAAAAAATGGAAGTCAATTAACAAAGAAATTAACTTCCAATTTACAAAATCTTGACCAAAAAAAAATAAAACCCACAAATCTCCTCATATCAAAAATCACTTCACTTGATTTTCTCAAACTGATTTTTACACAGTATCTTCGATCATTTTGAGAAAGTTGTAATGTTTATGAAACTCCAAGAAAGAACCCCCCCCCCCCAAAAAAAAAAAATCACAAAACCAACCTACATTTTCCTCCTCTGAACCAGCAATCAGAAAAAAACCATAACCACCACCAAAAAGAGACAAACCCAGTAAAATCATCGAACAGTAACAAAAAAAACGCAAAGAAAGAGAAAGACCCAGTACTCTAATCACCTTCCTAGAGTAATAAAGCCATTTATACAAAAACAGATAAATACTCACGAGTTTGGAGGAATGAGAAACCGAGTTCCGAGCAGAGACAGTTGTATTATTCGAGATATTAGACAAAGCCGGTCGTTTCTTGGCATTCAATTTTCCGGTCTGATTATGCTCTAACCCCGATGAATTCGCTGCCATTGCTTGTCTCTTCGCCACCGCAGACGACCGCCTATTCTGGGTTGTCATCATTTCCTCCTTCAAATCGAAAAATGATCAAAAAAAATTTAACAATTTCTCAACAAATTTTCATCAATCCTCTTCTTCAAGATAAACGAAGAAGAAGAACGCTGTGTGTTACTCTCAATATGTGAAGTTATTAATATATAAATAAATAAATACATTTGAATTTTGATTTAATCTGAACCGTCCATTTGATTTAGGTATTCGTTAGGAGCGGACAAAGTTGGGCCCACTAAAAATCATTTGTTTAATTGGAGTTGAGAATAGAAAAGTGACCGACCAATCAGATGAAAACATTTGTACTGTGGGTGATGAAGGTTCTGTGAGTTTAGTGTGTAATTTTTTGAATTCAAATTTGAAGGGATTCGTTCTTGACTTTAGTGCACCCAGAAAAAAAGCTCAAGCTTCCTCTTTGTTTTTTTATTCACTGTAATAAAGCCAAATGCAAAAAGAAAAAAACAGTTTTTTCTTTTTTTTTTGGAAAAAATAAATTCAAATTATATAGTAATTGACAGATTATTTATTATATAAAAAAGAAATGAATTTTGGTAATAAGGAATGATATATGTGAGCTTATACTACATAAGATTGAGTTAAATTTGAAAGTAATATTTGAATTTAAATTTAGAAAAATACATGATTTTCTATGTAAGGTACCTTTTCTCTTCTTCTTAGGTGATCCCAGGGTCGGACTTCCGTTACTTGTGCGCTCTTGAACCCCTCATGAAGTTGTATCTTGTTCTCGGTGTGGATTGCTCTTGTTGGTGTTGTGTTGTAGATCTAATTGATGTATGTCTAAAATTCGATTGCATATGTCATTATTATTGCATCTTTATAATTTATGTTGGAAAAATATTATTATATATATCTCAAAAAGAATTATTTTATATTCTATTATATTTAAAAGATAATATTATTTTATAAATATTTCTTATCCATAAATAACAATCT